AAGCATGTTCAATTAATCTATCTATTTCAAAATGTAAGTCACTTTAGACTCAGCACGTAAATTAAGGAAACAATCATTTAATAATTAATTTGTATGTTAAATATTTATTTTATCCATCATTAATTGTTTTGGACCTATAACCAAGACTAGATGAAAAGTGGTTAGCATTATTTATTGGGGTAAAGTTATGAAGTTAACCTTTAATTTGTCTTGAAATCCTAAAACGTTCTACATTTTGAAATATTTCTCTAAATTTAAAACGACCTACATTTTGAAATAGAGTGGGTATATGGTAAGTTTTGTACTCCTTCCTCCATTCCAAAATATGTGTCGTTGGAAGAATACTAAGTTTTTTCAAAATAGATGTCGTTTTTGCATATCGAGATATATTTTATTAATTTCTTCCAACATTGCTCTTACATGGGAAATTATAATTGTATTTAAAGTAGAAATCGAATTAAAACTAAATGATATTGAAAATAAAATTATATTAAGAATAAATAAACGTACTTAGTATTTTAATTAAATATTTATTATCTTCTTAAATTTTGTGAAACTTGACATATATTTTAGAATGGAGGGAGTAACTTCAATCTCTGTAATTAAGAGTGGAAGAATTGTTCCAATGTTGATCTTACATTCTTTTACAAATTTGAAATGGGCTATGGATGGGGTCATCAATTCATGCACCATTGTTCGGAAGAGCCCATATAATGGCCTAGTGGGATTTTGCATAAGAATGGAGGCTGAAATTGGAGTAAAAAAATTTCTCAGCGTTAACAAGGCCATTTTATTTTATTTATTTATTTTCAGTTTGTTAGCCAGTTTTCTCTCCTGCCCCGCAAAGGAATATTTTATTTGTGTGACGTCCTGTAAGTTAGTGTAATCAATCAGCGTACAAAATGATGGCTACTTTATCAATTTGCTTAGCTCTTGGTAGAACTACACATTCTATTATGCCCTTATCAATATCTTTCAAGTCGGGTTTTAATAAAAATTATGCTAGTAGAAAGAATTTTGTTTGGACGTGCTTGATTAGGACTTTTTGAGATTCTTTTAAATATTGAATTTGGGTCTTCGTCCATTTTCTCAACGATCACTTGATTTTCAGCTTCAAAAAAAAAAAAGAAAAAAAAAAGAAAAAAGAAGAAGATCATGAATTATCCTCTAACTTGTTTAGAGGCATCTTCTCTGCAAAACTACTAAGTGCAAAGTCTTATGCCCTCTACTTCCTCGGTGCTGAATAGTCCGTTTTTGCTTTTTTCCTTTTCATATATATTTTGGAATTCAAGTGTGGCGTATGATTTTTATTGATTAATCTTCTAACCTTGATAAAAATCGTTGATTTTAGAAAAAAATAAAAATAATTAGATGATTTATTATATCTTTTCCATATGATATAATTGTAGAAAAAAAAATTAACATTATGATGATAAAACAAAACATATAGATCAATATGGAAAAATATTTTCAAAATTAGAAAAAAAATAAAGATCTTTGTGAGCGATAAATAGTTGAATGAGAAATAAAAAATAATTATATGAAATCTTTAAAGAGAGGCCACCAAATATAGGGGAAAAAAGGCGATGGCTATGCAACCAAAATAAAGATGAAGTGAACATTATATTGTAGGAAAAATATACGAACAAATTTCTAAAGAAAGATTACGAAAGGTATACAGAGAGATGGAAAATAAAAATAAATTTATGGAAAGAAATAATGAGAAAATTTTCTATCAGAAGCAGAGTCTAAAAGATATAACATACGCAAAAATATTTAGAGAAATCATTATGAATAATTAAGAAAATATTTTTAAAAAGACAAAAAGTCATAAATCAACAAAACAAAAAAGATTGACAATAACTTACATTGGATAATTTTGAATATTGAAAATTATTCCAGATATACTTAAAATAAAAAAACACAATAAGATAAAAAATTACTCAAACGACAATTTCACGATTAACATTTTCTTTTACACATATTACTCCATCGAAATGTCATATAATCGTTAAATCATTAACCTAATATATATTTTGAATAATCCACACAACGTACGGAATAAGCACTAGTATATATTAAAGCCGAGTTCTTAATTGACACGTGTCGCCCAGGGAGCAAGTTTAGCCAATTATGCCACATGTCGTCATCAAAATTCTCCTTCATTAAATAGTTAAAAATTTATTACTAATACGTAAAATTTTTAAATTGAATTAAGTAATTAAGTAATAGTTAATTTTGGAAAAATAAACACGTCTTTGGTAATTATTGACAAATATATGACATAAGGAAACATTAATGATCAAATTAATAATTATATTAAGAATACAGTTTGAAACTAAGTCTGGATACATTAAACGTAAGTTAATATTATTTTTCAAATGATTCTGTTTGATATATTTTCTAAAAATTAAAAGATATTAGTTACAAAAAAAAAATTGTTACCAAATAACTAAATTACGAATACAATTCGAAACCAAGTCTACCTACATTACAAGTATGTTAATATTATTTCTTAGATGATTGTTATATTTCCATAAATAAAAAGAGACTACTTACCAGAATGAAGAGATTATTTACCAAATAATTATAGGAGTACAATTCAAAACTAAGTCTAGATACATTAAACATAAGTTGATAATATTTTTTTGATGATTCTATTTGATATATTTTTCAAAAATAAAAATAAATTAGTTACTAATAACAAAAAAATATATTTTTTACCAAATAATTATACTGCGAATGCAATACGAAACTAAGTCTTGATAAATTAAACGTATGTTCGTATTATTTTCCAGATTATTCCATTTGATATATTTTTCAAAAATAAAAAGAGATCAGTTACTAAGTAATTATACTACAAATACAATTCGAAACCAAGTTTGTATACATGCAAGATAAGTTACTTTTATTTTATAGATGATTCCATTTAATATATTTTTCAAAAAATAAAAAGAGATTAATTTAAAAAAATAAAAGGAAATTAGTTACAAATAATTATATTATGAATACAATTTGAAAACTAAATCTGGATTCATTAAATGTAGATTAATATTATTTCTCAAAATATTTTATTTGATATATTTCCAAAAATAAAAAGAGATTAGTTAACGAATCATTATATTATGAATACAATTCAAAACTAAGTCTAGATGCATTAAATGTATATTAGTATTATTTTAAATGATTCCATTTGATATATTATTCAAAAATAAAAAAAGTTACAAAACATATAAAAATTAGTTGCTAAATCATTATATTACGAATACAATTTGAAATCAAGTTTAGATACATCATACATATGCTAATATTATTTTTAAAATAATTTCATTTGATATATTTTCAAAAAATAAAAAGAGTTTAATTTCATAACTAAGGAAAAAGTTATGAATGCAGATAAATAAAATGGGTCCTGCACCTGCCAGGCATAGTCTATTTTTCTATTAAAAAAACTAAGAAAAAAGTTTGGAGTGTGGATAAGTATTATTTATTAGTTTTTTTTGTCATGGTCCCCTCTTATTTTTTGTGCTTTATTTACTTTTGTTGGAATTTTTTTTTTTTACTTTATGCCTAAAAAGAGATTATTTATAATATTTGATTCAATTTCTACAAGTAAACAATATATGCTTTCCAGTCAATATACTTTAAGAATATACATGATTTAATTTCTTTTGTTGAAAACTTTTATATATTTATATCCTTAAAAAAGTAGGATAGTAGATAATTGATCATATTAATTCGTATTTAGAATTTTTTTTTTTGATATACTATCACTCCTAAACAAAAAGTATATTAAATAGTTGAACATATTAATTTGTATTTTAAAATACTCTATATGGCTAAGAAGTACTTGATCAAAGTGGTAACAGTATTAGACCAAGTTAACTGCAATACATGATTAAATCTGTGCATGGGTACGTAGTAATGATTGTTGGGAGAGGTTTGTCTTCCAAAAGTGTCCTACCCGATTCAAAGACGGATTAGTTGGAATAATGATTTCAAACACCGGATGCACTATATACCAAAAACGAAAAAAAAAAAATTATATGACACTCTTGAATTTGGAGTCCGAATGCCTAATATACCAAAAAATAGAAAAACTAAAACATATAACACTTTTCATAAGAAAATAATGGTATATTAATGTTACTTTAAAATATAGTAAAATCCGCACAATATGCAGTTATAATACTAGTGTTCCTAATTAACAAGCATATCTTCAAAATTGTTCTACATTAATACTAGTGTTCCTAATTAACAAGCATATCTTCAAAATTGTTCTACATTAATTAACTAGCTCCTATCATTAGGGTCTGGTACAAGTCAATTAAGTTTCCAATGGAAATTGTGAAACATCAGTTCAATATATACTCTTTATTTCATAAAATGATTGTCATATTTAGTTGAAACGAAAAAACTACTAATTCTTTTCTGATTAGAAGTTTAGAACCTGCTCTAAAATGAGGATGCCGATGCGCTGAGCAAATAAATAAATAAATAAATAAAAATCCTTCCCACTGTATTTTGTTGCACCTAATACTTTTTCCGATCACTCTTTCCTAATTTCTTGTAAAACCCAAAAGCCAAACTTCAGAGAAGAAAGGAAGGCACACATGACAAGTTATTCTCCATTCTCCCTTCCTTCTTCTTGCCTTCGGTCACAAGGCAGAATTAGTTCTGTGCAGGCTGCCCTGCGTGAACGATTTGCTTTTACGACAAAAAGAAAGCCACTATTTAGCACATGATGTCTAACTTTTCGGGGCACTAAAAATTGAATTATTCTTTCCGTCCTGAAATAATCGTCCGGTTTTGAGTTATTTTAGTACGACAAACATGACAATTATTTTAGAACAAACAGAGTTATATCCATAAATGAATCATGTAGAGCTTTTACAAGAAGCTCTTAGAAGTTTTTTTTTTTAAAAAAAGACTATTGTCTTTTTGTTGCTACTTATGTTGCTTGAATTACAATTGAAGTTTTAAATAATCTCAAGTGCAACGAAGAACATAAGCAGAAAAGGCATAACGTTTACGTCAATCTTTCAAACCCAACACTGAAAGAACCAGTCCACCTAAGTGATCAGAAATTCCCCATCAATAAACCTAAAAACATACCACACAATCTAAGGATGTTTTTTCCATTCCCATTTGCAAAATTTGGGGTGTGGCAAAAGATCATAACTCTGTTCATTTGCATTTAGATAGCTTGTTTCCTTCCAGAAGAAAGCTTCTCATTGTTTTAATCATGGCGGCGGCGAAATCGGACTTTGCTCAGAAGCTGCTTCATGATCTCCGGCTGAGAAAAGAACGAATGTCATCATCTGCCACTCAAAATTCCAGTAGCTCAAAACCAACTTTCAGAGGTAAGCAACTAATAAAAATTCTCTAAAATTTTGCTCTTCATGGGAATTTTCTAATGCCAATTTGACCCAGCTCATCACTTTATTTTTTTTTTTTTTGTTTTGTACTTATTTGTGTTACAGCTTGAATTTTAAACATTAAAATATGCACAATGCACTCAAGAAATTTTTATTTAGTTGGGTGGAGAGTTGCTAATGTTAAGCCTGCAGAAGTACTGTAGCAGTTCAAGACTCACATCAGTTCATAAGTTTATCATTTTTTAAAAAAATGGATCAAAACAATAATCCAATTCTGTTGTTACACTGTCACCAAAGTGGCACTCAACACGCGTTTTGTTTGATAAGATGCTTAATTAGTTCAGGATTCCATCGACAATACACCAAGAGAAAAAGCCAATTCGTACTTTGTTGATTTCAAACGTTATCATGATCTGCTTCATCAGGTGCTCAAGGAAATCCAGGGACATTACATAAAGGCTCTAAGAATGTTACAGCTATAGAACCTGTAAGTATATGATGTATCACTGTTAGACAATTCCTGTGTAATCTGTCATAAATAGTTCACATTATCGAAACACGGCTTTTTTTGCAGGTTCGGTCTAGATCAGGGAATTCGGTTAGTAGAAGAACAAGTGGTAGCGCCGGATCATTTCACTTGGAGGGTTCTTCGAATCAGATCTTTCTCTATGACAGAGGCCGAAGTGCAGGACACGCGGGCGAATTGCCAACAACCCTTTCTTTTGCTATTGAAAACGGAGGGAAGTTCAGCAGAATTGATGCATCAGGCACCAACCCTTTGCTAACCTTCCTCCGACATATCAGCAGGAGATCATATGATCCTGTAAGGACCCATACAAAGAGCAACATGTTGAGCAGGAGTTCAAATAATCATGTTCCTACTTACTCACACATTCACATTCATGATATATCAAGAGGGGTGCAGAAACTGAATCAGATTCTTAGGACATGTTCAAATGGTGTGAATTTCGATAGATATTCTGTCGAAGTAGGACAGGAGCTACTAAGAGGAGCAATGGATTTGGAGGAGTCCCTCAGAATGCTCATAAACATGCAGGAAGCTTCGGACTACATGCTCAACTCACAGAGAAAGAACAAGATCAAATTGCTTGAGGAAAATGAGGATGATCAAACTGAGACAGCAAAAGAAGATGACTTGAAAATAGTGGCTCGTCCGAGATTCTCATTCGATAAGCCCAAGAACCAGCAAAGCAACAAAGAGGCACCATGTTATAAGCAGCACTTAATGGCCTTAACATATCTAGAAGGCTCTCCAAAGTTGCCAGAAAAGCAACCTCATCAGAATAAGTCTAAACCTAATTCCTTCTCGCATTCAAGGTCAGCTAGTTGTGTTCCAGATTTCAAATCACTGTGCTCAGACTCGGAACCAAAAGAACACACCAAGTCACCCTCAAAACCAGAGAAAGGCAGAATATCAAATGTGATTGCGAAACTTATGGGTCTCGATGAACTTTCACCAAAAGAAGGGTCCAATGCCCCTGTCAGAGAATTGAGCTCAAACAAAAAGGAGGTCATTGCGTCTAAGACAAGTCCAATTAATGAGGCATCACAACATCAAGACGAAAGGAATGGACGGGCTGTTAGTAACAATAAGCAGGCAACAACAACATTCAGGACATCAATGTTAGACTCCAAACCAATGCCGGAAGCAGAAAGTATTCCACCACATTCCAAAGGAAGTTCTCGGGTGATTATCTCCGAGATCCACTGGCAGAACTTAGAAGTGGCAACAAGAAAATATGCAGGGCCAGGTTCAAAAACCATCACAGTTACAGCAGACAAGCAGGAGTTAAATGGTGTAAAGGAAAGGGATCGGTTGCCTGGATACAAAGAAATGCTACAGGAGAAGGAAAAGAACAGCAACAATAAAGCTGAAAACAAAGAACTATTAGCAAAAGTTGTGCATCAGCAAAATGAACCCGAAAGGCCTGTATCGTCAAAAGCTGAAGATGGGTCGGATAAGAATATGGAGTTGAAGAGAAGTGCAATTCAAGCAAGCAAAAAGAATGCCCATAGTCAAGAGAGAAGCAGGCAACAGATTAAGGAGGAAGTCCACGAATTGCGACAGAGAGGTCTGCTGAAAAAATCTGACCAGTTAGAACAAAAACGAAAGGAAAGACTTCCAAAACCAAAGAAACAGGTTAATGAATCAAAAGGCAATCAAGTAAAGGCGATGGTTGCATCAAAAGTAAACAGAACCACGAAAAGTTCACAAACGAAGAAGCCATATGGTACTTTAGCTCCAGCTGAAGTTAATAAGAAGAAAGCAATGGAACACAAGGAAGTAAAGTTCTCGAAAACTCTGTCCAGCAGAAAACTTCATGAAGATAGTGGAGTACAGGAGTTTTCTATCAATCAACCATCACAAAGGAAGAATGGGATTTGCACAAAAGCCTTTGAAGACCAGAACTGTCAAGTAAATGTTGCATCAAACACTGGAAGTCTAACTCCTGATGTCTTACCAGCATCACCAGATCAGAATGATGATCAGCAGAATGATAAGACATTGAGCAGCTGCGATGGAGATGAACAAGAGTCTTCCAACCATCCTGAAGATACAGAAGTTTACACTCCAAGATTCGATAAACCGGAAGAAAGCACAGATACAGCAAATGTGGAAGATTTGTTGCCCAGTGTAGCAGAACAGGTCAACTTCTCCATTTCAGGTGAAGATAGTTGTCGAATTGTAGATACTCCGGAAACTCAACTCCGCAATCAAAAGGTTAGCCAGCACTATAGAAGCTTACTTTCTGAACAAATCACATCTTTTTCATTTCCTGAGGTACTGCAATCATTTAAGATGACAATGCCTAACCAGATGATCTATTGGCCTAATGCAGACCGCAGAAACATTCACAGATACACATGAAGTTCCCGAAGACCACATACTTGTCCACAGGGCAACTGAGCCCTCCGATAAGGTTTTACAGGATCGCTATAAAGGTAAACCAAACAATGATTAGGAGAATTACTATTTCCTGAACCACATTCTAACGTGCGATTTAGTGTATGAAATAGTTCCTCTTTTATCTGAAAAATTAAAATCACACTGGAATCCATTTTACTTTGAAATGTCTACATAATTGCATGAAACAGGCATAATTCCGTATGACAAATTATCCCTGATAATGGTATTAATTAATCCAGGCGCGAATGAAGAAAGCAGAGGAGTTAGTAAAGTTATGCAGAATGAGCTGAAGAAAATTCAAGCAAAGAAGGCAGCAAAACCACTCACAGAATCAGAGAAAAATCTCAAGGAAAAACTGATAAAGGGTCAACAGTTTCTTAACACGGCGGAAGCCTTTTTCAAACTCAACATACCAGTCAGCATACTGGATGACAGTAACGATCAATGCGGTCAAGATGCCGAAACCAAACTCATCTTAGACTGCGGGTACGAGTTACTGAAAAAGAAGGGACAAAGACTAGAAGTTTCAGTTTATCCAAGGAAACAAATGTCGGTTACCGTTGCCAATAAGGTAAACTCACTTGATGATCTGATCAGGCAACTAAGCCAGGACTTCAACACGTTAAAATCCTACGGAGGGAATTCGAGCCCTGAACTTGAAACAGCAGATTGTTTGTCCAAAATGCTTGAGAAAGATTTTGAGAAGTCACATTCGGAGGTGAGCAGCATGTGGGATTGTAACTGGATTTCGGACCCATTTGGTTTTCAGGAATATGATGAGATTGTTAAGGAATTGGAGAAGCATTTGCTGAATGGCCTATTGAATGAAATCACACAGGAATTACTTCTGTTAGGATTAGTTTTGGCTTGATTTTACCGATTCTGGTATATATATATTTTTTTGATCAATAGGTATTACTCATTTACTCTTGTAATTTGTGTTCTAAAAAATTTGCCATTTCAAATCATGTTCATTTTTTTTTATAAGCTTGATAATTGGTAGAATATCAATATGTTTGAGTTTTGAGATCAGATGAATTTTCATTACAAGTATTTTTCGTTTAACCAATTGTTGTTTGCGGATTCTAAGCTAACAATTTCTAACTTTTCAACCTTGATCTAACATTAATCTTATGGATAAATATTCTCTTGTTAGAATATCATTTGTTAGACGAATTCCCTCCGTCCCGAAATTATTGTCCAGTTTTAATTTTCATTTTTAGTTCATTTTGTACTAAACTGAAAATATAATAAAGAGAATAACTTTGGGACAAAGGAAATATTAAAAAAATTACATAAACAATCGCAAAACACATAAGTATATACCGTTTAACTAATTCACGCTGTTCATAAGAAGCCAAGATTTTGCCCTTCCTTTATAGTATTCTTTTTGGGGCAGCTTGAGCAGAATTATATGTATAATCTTTTGATAGCACTTAGAAAAAGGCATCAAATCTTTGGCGGATCCGTCCCCATTTGCATCAAATTAATATTAATATCACAAGATGGGTGATTGATCTTTGCATCTTGATCATCTAGCTAGCATCCAATAATAATAATAATTTGTTTTGGTTCCTTTGTTCTTATTTGACATTGAGATTAATTAATAAATTAAAATAAAGTTGGATGGACGGGCAATTTGCAAAATGGAGTATAAATAATTGGAGACCACTATATGAATATATAACAAAGTCAAAACTCTAAAATGGAAGAGAAGAACAAAGGCAACTTCCGAGTTGACAAACACTATAATTATTTTTAATGGATGGCTTTTTGTCGAGTATTATTCTTTCATCAAATAGTATATATGTGTACTTGGATTATTTAATGTAATTAGTTTCCCACTTGATGGTTGAATATGTCTGTAATATGTGGCAGATTCGGAGCTTCGGAGCTTGAAGACAAAGGAAAAAATAAAGATGGTTTGTGTTTCCCGAATTACTTTTTGACTCTTAGTCAACTATGGGGTTAATAACTCAACTGGACTTTTACTTCGTGGAAATTCATCTTGGTTCTCATGTTTGTTTCAATTATTCGATTTGTCTATACATTTTTGAAAATTTGATAGATTTGGTCCTCAACATTTCCTTTGTTTTATTTTTCCCTTTTTTCTTAAGGAATTTTATCCTATTCGATGCAGTAAGTAACCCACAAATGCAAGAATTCAACTCTTAAATATATTGACTAACAAATTAAGTTCGTAACTTTACAATTTTAGTTATTGAAAGAAAGGGTAAAGAACTTAACACAATAATAATAGAAATACATTGTGAGCAGGGGCGGAGCCAAGCCCCTAGCAGCAGGTGGGGCAAAAATGTTTACACATAAAGATATTTAATTTGTTGAAAAATTATCAAAATGTAAATCCTAACAAAATATTACAAAGTTTCTTTACGTATATTCATTTTCTGAGAACATTGCAAAATAAGTTCATCGTCAATAGTATCAAAGAGATACTTTTCGATATATGTAACTAGCCAATCATTCATTTATCAATTTGCCATCAGTTTTGAAGTAGGTTTATCACAATCTTCATAACATAAAACTATCTTTCAACAGTTGTAGTGACCACAGACAAAATAAGTGCACTCAAATACAAAGAAATAAAATGGCGATGTGAAAAAAAAGAATTTACCAAACAACTGATATAAGCAGTAGGCACTCAAGTACTTGATCTAGCATATTAATTCAATTCTAATCTCAAAACGAATAGCTACTAGAGTCAATAGCCAATAGACAAATGAAATATAAATTAGGCATATATAAAAAGAACCGGAAATTAATGAAAAATATGAATGTTTTTTCACTTGACGATGACAGATCAGTATTCAATATATACGTAAACCCTACAATCTATATAAATCTAACTCACAAAAAAATTATTCTTTAAAGGAAGACAAAAACAATAGAGTTTCTAATTAATTACAAAAACTACATAATCCACGAACAAATGAATAAAAAGAGAACTTCAAAAAAAAATTTACATACACAATAAAGCTTACTACGTCCGCTCTCCGGTCTTTTATTATTTACTTCCACATTCCAATCACTATAAAAGATTGAGTTCTAAACCCTAGGAGAAAAGGCAGAGTCGATGAAGAACAAGGCAAATTTTGAGTTTGGGATGGGAAAAGAGACGTGAGGTTTTTCGTTTTTCTAATTGATATAAAACATTATTAATTTAACTAAGCTAAAGTAAACAATCACTACCTTTTAGTTTCTCTTTTTTAATAAAATATTTGTAATAGTTATCAACTTTCTTTTTTGCCCCCCAACTTACAAATTATTACTAGGGTAAACTTTTAACGTTTTTGTAATTTAGTAGTACCCTAGGGGTACTTGGCGAATTTTGAGCAGGGGCAATTGCCCCAGCTGACATGTATGTAAATCTGCCCCTAATTGTGAGTATAAGTCACCTCTGTAATATCATATGATATTTTTTTTAACCTTGAAAGAAATAAATGTGAAGAAAGGAACTTTAATTAAACATTTTCACTATGTTCTTTTCTTATTTATTTTTCCTTTCTCCTACTCCCATTGACTTGAAGTATGAAAGATTAATACGAAGGATGTCGGGAATGGGGATCGAACCCATACTCATCTGGCCAATATGCATGTAGGTGGGTATCATATCGATTGTATTGAGTTATCTTTCTTTTGATTTCTTCTTACAAGAATTAGTAAAAATGCACAAAATATGTATTGAAATTGACAATGTCACAATGGTCAATGGTGTTATTTCATTAATTGTGTTCCATCAAATGACCGATCATTAATTGGACTTTGTGGCACCCGAAAGAAGAAAAAAAAAAGATTAAACATTAGGGAGTTAGATTCATTTTGAAAAATAAGGAAGTGATCGTGTCACAGATAGAAAAATTGAGGACTAAAACAAAAATTTTATTTTTTTTCATATTCGTTATTTTTCTTGGAACTGGCATGGAACAAAGAACATATCGTCGTCGGCTGAGGAGTTTACTTCCACGACGCACCACCACTATTCCCACCACTAAGGTTCAGCCGCACTCGTTATGAAAATTCTTAATGCTTAAGGCAGCAAAAAAATATAACAGTATACTAAAACTTGATATGAATTTGGTTGAAAATGTGAAGTCAATGCTCCCCATGATCATCAACTTCATCATCAACTTCGTATGAATTATATGATGTGCATGCTGCCTTCATGCTCCACCCACCCCCATCATCATTCTTAATTTCTAACTTCTTCTCTCCAATCCTACCTATTTACTTTTCTCGTCTTAAGATATTTTCATAATTTGTACTGAAAATAAAAATCTAAAATTAACAAATATTTTATGTTAAAAAAAAATTCAATAGTATTAATCGATTACCAACCCTAAACCTAAAATTAGCCAATATCGATAAAACGAGCTATCGGAATTGTATATTACATTTAATAAAATTAAAAAAAAAAAAAAGATACCCTATCTTCTAATTGCGATACTGGGATTGTTCTTCTAGTACTATGCGATATGGTTCAGCATGCCGAGTTAGATCAATGATAAAAGTCAATAGTCAAAGATTTATTCAGAATTTACAAATGTTTACCACCTGGAGCAAGCACTAGTAGTTTATAAAATGTCAAACCCTCGAGACATCATCATGCATTTTTGTAATTGGGTGATGTTCAAATTTTTTGGATCTACTTCTCTCACATATGGTTTGGCTACTCCATTAATTTACAAAGTCAACGGGGAGTTGGGGGCCGGATGACATTATTCCGTGAGGAAATGAAGAGATGATGTAAATATAGATGCAGACTCCAACTTGGAAGTAGCACTACTAATTAGTTTACAAATTACATTAAAACAACCCCTTTGATGTAAGCAAAACCACTAATAAAAAAAGGAACCAAAATTGGTTGTAGTACAAGTCAAAGTAGGCCAATTTGTTGTAGCCGGGTAGGTCATTTGGTTCAGAAGTTTAGTAGTACTAAATTAAGAAAACACCTAAAAATAGTCTAGAATTTATATTTATTCAAAGACTTTTTTTTTTCGTTTTTTTTTTAATCTTTGTGTGTGCTTTGGTTGCTTGTGATGAATAATAATTATGTATGACAAAGTTGACAAATGACAACAACCACATGATCAATCCTCCCACCAACAGCATACTTGCATATCCAACCATATATTTTCTTCAATATCTACGGTCCCAAGTTGTTCTGTCTCTGATCTGATCAGTGATATTATCATGTGGGTGATAATCTGATTAAGCATTCCAATTAACCCTTTCTTCAAGTCTTCCATATTCCTCTTCCTTTATAGTCCATCCTTTTCCTTTCTCTCTCACCACCAGTTAAAATTGTCAAACACAATCACTTCCTATAAAATGTACAAGGAAAGAAAAGAATCTCATGCCAAATTGCAATCCCATCCCCCAAGTCATTGTTTCATGATAATTTAATAAGTGATAAATTCTTTTTCACCCGAAATCTTTTGTATCTTTTATAAAGTATGTCAAATGAACGTTGCATACGTGTATAAATATATTATGATCGTTAGAGATACATTACGATACTAATCAATTGCATTGTAATACATTACAATTGTAGTAAGATGTATTTTAATGAATACATATCTTATTCAAAATAATTTTCATTCACTATAGATAGGCCATTTTCAAGAACAAACATGTCCGAGTAATGCTTTGCACAATCTCAGAAAACAATATACTAAAACGTCAAAAGATTGTATTCCTTTAGGTCCTTAATATAGGGCATTTTGACTTGTGATAAATTTAAAATAATATGTATTTTTAATTAAAAGAAAACCTTAAAAATATTTTATAACAATCAAGAGAACACAATAAATGTAAAAATATCTTTTTATGATTTTTTAATTAAAAATACGTACTACATAAAAGTTAGATCAAATCAAAATGCATTATATTAAGGATAGGAGAAAGAGTACATATTAGTACAAGACTACAAGGTAATAAAAGAATCAAGGGGAAAATAAAATGGAAGGGAACCGGTGTCCGGTAAACGGTAAAAGGAGGGGGACCCAGGAAGGGCACAACTCTGCTAAATGGAAATGGACTCTTGCATTAAAAGCTGGTAAAGTCAACTCTACCTTACTGGCACCAACCTAACCACAGTTTAGTTTACCCCACAACTCTTTTCTTTGCTTTCTTTCATTTCATTACTCCCCCCGATTTTCCATTCATTGAGTTTTCAACAAATCCATCCAACGGCTCATTACTACCCTTTTGACTTTCTGCATCCCCCCATTTCACTCATCAACTCCCCACACACACACAATTCATTATTACTATTTTCTTTTCTGTTCTTCCTAAATAAAGCGAGTCAATCCTCTCTTCTTTTGCCCCTTTCTTTTCTTTCATTTGTTATTGTTTTCTTTTCTATAATAATAAACATAAAAAAAATTTAAAATAAAATTAAAAGCCGAGAAACGGCGAAAAAAAAGAAAAGAAATTCCACGTGGGTCCCGGTTATTGGTTTCAGCCTTTGACGGCAAGCTGGTCAGAAGCGACAGAGATGAAAGAGAAATAAAGCATCATAAGTTTGACTCTCTTCCTCTTCCTCTGGCTTTTCCCCCATCTTCTTATATTCTCTAATTGCCATTCTCATTTTCTTCCTAAACATTTGAAACTCAGTTCAACCATCTCTCCTCTTCCCTTCTTCTTCTTCTTCTTCTTCTTCTTCTTCATCTCCTCAGCTATCTCCTACAATTTTTAATCCCAGCTAAAAAAAGAAGAAGGTTTCTTTAGAGTTGTGTATGGTTGTTGTTGATTAGAATAAGAAAGATGGCTGTAGATTTGATGACTGGATTTCGAACCGATAGTTTTGCAGCAGCGAAGATGGAAGAAACCGCTGTCCAAGAAGCTGCCACTGCTGGACTCCAGAGCGTTGAAAAGCTCATCAGGTTGCTTTCCACAACCACCCAATCTAAATCTGACCCTCAACAGGCTACAGTCTATCAGGATTCATCTGATTATCAAGCCGTTGCTGATGCTGCCGTCCATAAGTTTAAGAAATTCATTTCTCTGTTAGACCGGACACGAACAGGGCATGCCCGGTTCCGCCGTGGACCGGTTAATAATTCCAATTCTAATCCTAATCCAAATCCTTCTTCCCCTGCTCCGCCGCCGCCGGCTCCACAAACCCAAAAAACCCATCAGCCACAGCCGCAAAATAGTCTTGTTATAGGTCAACCCGTTAATAATTTGCTTCAAATTCAACCCGTGGAAGACGATAAAGAGAAGGTGAAATCCGGTTCAAGGATTTATTGCCCGACGCCGATTCAGGGATTGCCGCCGCTTCCTCACAACCACCATCAGTTGGTGAAGAGCGCACCGATTGAAAGGAAAGAGTCTTCCACGACGATTAATTTCGCGTCTGCTTCGCCGGTGAATTCATATATGTCGTCCTTGACCGGAGACACCGAGAGCTTGCAGCCGTCGATGTCTTCTGGGTTTCAGATTACAAATCTGTCCTCACACGTTTCGTCGGCCGGTAAACCGCCTCTATCAACGTCGTCGTTTAAGAGGAAGTGTAGCTCTATGGATGATTCAGCTATGAACAAGTGCCATACCGGCGGCGCTGCTTCCTCCGGTGGACGTTGCCATTGTCCCAAGAAAAGGTAAATTTTCAAATTCCTATTGATTGATTTCAGTCTTAACTCCAATAGATTTTCTGTATCATTGATTTTTTTTTTTAATTGAAAAGATCATGAATCTTAATCCTCTGGCTGATTAAATTTTTGTTTGGTTTAATTTTTTGTTCAGGAAATCGAGGATGAAAAGAGTAGTTAGAGTTCCGGCGATAAGCATGAAGATGGCCGATATTCCGCCGGACGATTACTCATGGAGAAAATACGGTCAAAAGCCAATCAAAGGTTCCCCTCATCCTAGGTGAGTTGACTTAAAATCCGATTACTGTTATTTGACGCTATAACATTTGCCTGTCGGTTCAGTTTTGTCCCTGTTTTTAAGGTTAAAATCCAGCAATGACTTGACTTTTCTTGAGGGTGTTCTGGACATTTCGGGACATTGGTTGTTCGGACTAATTAATTAAGATTTATTCTTGAACAAATTTCAGGGGTTATTACAAATGTAGTAGCGTAAGAGGATGCCCGGCCCGGAAACATGTGGAGCGGGCATTAGATGACCCGACTATGCTCATTGTTACATACGAAGGAGATCACAATCACTCCCATTCAACCACGGATGCACCGGCGGCGTTAGTTTTGGAATCCTCTTAATCTGGACCGTCCATCTCCGAAGTGATTTGGCCATCCCTCCTCCCTTCTCCGGCGGCCGAGGCCACAAGATCAGATCTAATCACAGCCGTCCAAAGTGCAAAAAGAGGATAACAGATGAAAGAGAGAGAAGATGGAGAGTTTCTTATTATATCTCTTGGGTCAACTCTCTTAGGTTGAGATTGTTGTTGCCTAGTAGGCATCATCATCATGCTGGGTGGGGTCCAGTTGTAAATTATGGTTGTTTCTCTTATGGCTGGTTTTTTACTAGTTATTTTATGGTTTTTGGGAGGAGAAACTGAAAAAGAAGCTCAAAAAGAAAGGGATAAAAAAAAAAAAGATGGCCAATTCAATTGTGGATTTGTTGTGATCAGTGCATCAATGAGTCCAAGTGGTGGGGGGATTTCTTTTTGTTTTTCTTGTTAACTTATACATATCCAAATTGGATCTCTTTTTTAACATTTGATCTTTGAGGTTTGATCTTAAACTCAATTGTCCCAATGGTTCCATTAAGTTGAGGAACTTTTGAGTTTGGACCAACTAATGTGATTATTGTCATTTACATGTTCATTTCAGACACTTTCACCTCAGTTTGTCAGTGAACATAAACCATATTCGGAACTTCAAGTAAAACATATGTAACATTTAGGGTATGTTTGTTTTGTTTTTTTAGTGTGTTTTTAGGTTTTTTTTGTATTGGAAATGTAAAAATGTGCGTTGAAAATGTAAAAAAATATGCTGAGATAGGATAATTATTAATAAAATAATCAAACAAACAGAGCCTTGATCATTCTTAGCATTACAACTTAGGTTTTTTTTTTTTAAAGAAAATATATTTTTAAAAGAAGTTTTGGTAGTCAATCACTTATTGATCGGAGCGGAAAGGATATAAAAGAAAGACTCAAGTTGTGTAATAATTAATGGATGACTTGTCGTGTGTGAGACGGGTGTGGAGTGGTGGACTGACTAACTCAATTATATCATTATTATCCCACCCATTAAAGAAAAAGCAGGGCAATTCCCGTTTACGTTTTTCAATTTAGTTATTCAGAAACAAAAAAACAAAACAATTTTTTTCGTAATCATTCAAAAAAAAAAAAAACAAAACCTTATGGTACTGAAATAATAAAAAGAAAAAAATTGCTTAAAAAATTTTATTTGTGCAAAGTTGACTTCACAATATTGGTGTAATTTTTAAATTATTGTTTTGGGTACAGTACTAATGAATGAATGGTCCGAAATGGGGGTTAATTACAATGTACCACGTACTTGTCAAATACATTTGTTTATTTAAGGAGAGCAATATATGACTTTTGGTAATTGGTTTTATACTCGTATATATAATGTCCTGTGCGAGTTGTTTATTGTTTAGGATTAATTATAAAAAAAAAAAAGTGGAATGAATGTGGGAAGATTAGAATCATCAGATTATGGTTGGATTTTATTTGATTAAAAAATACGGAAAAGAAAAATTAGAAAAATCGGGAGAGATGTTGGTTTGATTTGATGATGAGCATAATAATCGCAGCATTGGAAGATGGGTCATTGACCATTCATCCACCGTGTATTCCGCAAATGAAAATGCCAAAGTCAAAAAGGGCCGGTGGATGTTCATGACACCTTACGACTTTTGAATTTCACCTTTTCTAGTTTAAAATTTTATAAAAATATTTCTACCGTCTACAATAACAACTAATCTATGCACTTAAAGTTTTATTCTTAGACTTTCTCACTTATCGGGCATCATTTCTGTTTAATTGTACATTTATTCTCTCATTCCTTTGGTAGATAGAATTAGTATAGTTAGAGAATAATAGTCGGTTAAACTTTATAGTGTGATAAAATAATAACCTATGGAATACAATAATCATTAAGTTACTTTCTCAATATAATATAAGAGTAAATTTTCTTATACTTTTATTTTTTGGTACAATGAAGGAGACCGAAAAGTCTAACTTACTAAACTGATTTGAAAAGACAAACTTCTAACAATTTGAAATACTATAATTTGTAACAAAGAGATCAGTTATTGTATTATTTTATGCAAACAATATATTTTTTTTTACCGGGAAGAAACCCTGGGATACAATCTTATCATTTTTAGTAAAAAAAATAAAAATAAAAAAATTGTGGTGGGTGACTTTGACAAACCAAGTTTTTGAAATGAAACAACGTATAAAATGTAACCATGGTTTTGTGGGAGACGTAGTCATTTGTAGTTCACATGTGGCAAGGATTGGATATGAGCCTTTGGATCTCGTAACCAGAGAAGAAATGGGAGCGTGAGGAAGAGGGAACGAGTTTCAATCAAATACGTTCAAGTTTTGTTCCCTTCCTCTCTGATTGCCTGTCTGGTCAAAAGTATTTTAGGAGGAAGAGGTATCCAATGTTTTGTAGTCTCATTGTCAACTAAAATACAATGGAAGAAATTAATAGAAATCTCAAGAAACGTCTTTGACCTATGACCATCTTTATAATATACTTTACTTTACTACGGTTTCAAGAAGTAGGACACATTTTACTTTAACCTTGTCTCATTTAGTTTTAAAAATTTTTAAGTAACTTTACGGTGTCATCATATCGAAAGTGTCATTTTGCCCTGAAATTTTGAATTTCCGATTCTGTCATTGCACATAATCGAATGAATAAAAGACTAATTGCACTAATTTTAAAAAAATTAGATTTGATATTTGGATTCAGTGTTTCTCAACATCATTCTAGAAGAGCAGCCTATTTGCAAGTTTTTTTTTTATTATTTTTTTTTTTTTTTATAAGATACTCCTACGTCTGTTTTTGAGTAAGCCAAGCTACTTATATGTGCATATTTCAACACTTCAACCGTAATACCAGAAAAACAGTGGGTTTTACCAAATGTCATATATTGTTGTGCAGTCATAACTCACAAGTCACGTCTTCCTTAATTAATTAAGCGGTTATACTATTATTTGACCATATATTAGCATTTTACCTACAAGAGGAAGTCAAGATTAATTAATTACTTGATGGTTTGAAATATTCAAATTCATTGACGTAGTCAGACTGTAATTTACTTTGACGAACTGTGAAGAACGTGGGTAGAAACTTTTTGTTCCTGACTTGAATTTTCAAGTCAATCAAAATACATCTCGTGTTTATATATATATATATATATATATATATATATATATATATATATTTTTATTTTATTTATTTATTTTTAAAATTTCCACACAATGCACACACACACACACATATTCAAATTGTACACCTCAACTAAAATGAACAATGTTGTAGTTTGTGTCTTGGCGTCTTTGATAGGAGAAAACGACCACTCAACCTTCACGTTTTCTAGATTAGAAGTACTCAATGAACAACCTAACTAATAACAATTCTGGTGGTGGAAATGACTAATTCATTCTAAACTAATGTTGGACGTTCGAATTGTCCAGATTTGAATTTCTAGCTCAATGGATATAATATAATTAGGAAGTAGTATTCGGGAAAACCCCGGAAAAGGAAGTAAACACAGATTTGAAGAAAACAAGGCTTATTGGGCTAGGCCGGGGTTTGAGCTTGGGCTACGTTTAGTCCCTCACTTTTTAAATTACTCTGCGTTTGTTAGCCCAAAATCATCATTTTGATTCTGATTTATAATAGTTTCTTAGGAAGGAACTCATTGGGCCTTTGTAGTGTTTTAAGTTTGGGCTCAGTGGAAAGTTTTGAAACTGTGAGTTACTGGCTTCACTGTTCATGAGGTCCTATAAGGCTATCACCTTGATAATACCCACCTGATTTCATGAAATTGTTATGCTTGTTTGTACGCCATCTTACATTTCATTTTGCTACTTAAAAGTGAAAAGTGTTTTAAGTTGAAAACTAAATAGGAAATGAAAATGTTGTTTGGATGGTATTTTGAGCAAAAAATTGTTTGGATGTTAGTTTTGAAAAAAATATTTTGAACTACATTTTGGAAATATCAAGTACGAGTCATTACTAAACAATTAAATACTGTCAATTATAGTCACTGCAAAAAAGAACTTTTTCAAAAACAACCACTCAACAACGGAATCCTGCCAAATTTGTCACTAAACTATTTGTAGTTCTAAAATGGTCATTACACTAATAAAAAGTGTTTCAAATTGGAATTTAAAATGTAAATCAGAAAGTTGTTTGGATGATATTTTTTTTTCCATTGGATTTTGTGTTTAAGAGGTAAAATAAGTTAAAATGTAAAATGAGTGGACGTCCAAACAAGACCATTTCGGACTAAATTCATATCATTTTGTACTAAATCCATCCCACTTGGTTGTAGTACTAAAAATGAGACCAAAGGAGTATTAAGCTTGTGTTTAAATGCAATAATAATACCTTTCACCTAAATTCGGGAATGGGGGCATCGGAGTTCCCCACCCTCTCCTGCATTTTCCCTGTTCCCAACTTCACGTGATACTGACTAATTTCTTCCCAGTACACTTTTGGACAGTTGCATTTCAGCATCCATTTGCATTTTTTTCTTTTTTTTCCCCCTTTCAATTTTCATCTACTCATCTTCAACCCCACCCTTATTATCTATCCATCATCACATGGAAATATATGTACTTAATTACTGACATTCAACAATACGCAAAACAAAAGCAGTCACCTTTCTTCAAGATTATGAGAACAGATTTGATGTTTCTGAACAACAATGTGGTTTCTTTCTTGGCATTGTTGTGGCTATGTTTCTCAGCTACTTTTGTTGTTTCTTCTTCTTCTTCTTCTTCATCCGATGTTACAGCACTGTTAGCTTTCAAATCGAAAGCTGACCTGAAGAACAAACTCTGGTGGCCAATTCCCAGCTCCAACGGGAGCTCTGTTTCTTCTTCCTTCTGCAAATGGACTGGAGTTTACTGCTCGGATGCCAAAGTGGTTCGTTTTGTTATTGAAGGGATGAATTTAGGTGGGATTTTCGCACCTCACACATTGAGCCAGTTGGATCAGCTCCGAGTTCTGAGTCTTCAGAACAACTCGTTGTACGGTCCAATCCCTGATCTTTCCGGTTTAGTTAACCTCAAAGCTCTGTTTCTCTCCCACAATTACTTCTCCGCCTCAATCCCGCCTTCCGTTTCTGCTCTCCACCGTCTCAAAACCCTTGACCTCTCCAACAATCACCTCACCGGCGAAATCCCGGAGTCGTTTAACGGTTTGGATCGCTTGTTCATGCTCCGTCTGGAATCAAATTGGCTGAATGGTTCAATCCCGGTTTTGAATCAATCCTCCCTTCACATATTCAACATTTCTAATAACAGCCTCACCGGCCCAATTCCGGTTACTCAGACTCTGTTACGGCTGGACCCATCGTCGTTCTGGTGGAACCCGGGGCTTTGCGGAGAAATTGTTCATAAGGAATGCCGGGAAATGCAGCATTTTTGGGGCCACTCTTCGCCGGCGCCGCCTCCGCCGGTAACTTTAGTATTGGGCCAAACTTCGCAATTACATCACGGGAATGTTGAATTAAGTCAATCTGCGGCGAACAAGAAAACCCACCGGAATGTTGCGCTGATAATCGGGTTTTCAAGCGCCGGGTTCATTTTCCTCTGTTCGTTAATCTGTTTTGCTATCGCCGCCACAAGGAAGAAGCATAGAAGAAAAAGTTCCACCTCAAAGGACATCGTCTTAGGGGAATCGACATTAACCGCCGAAGTGGAGGCGGTGTTGAGGATTGAACGGGAAAATTACGAACTGGAAGAGAAAATCAAGAAGGTCCAAGAGGGAATGCAGATTGCCGGGATGGGGAGAAGCGGGAGTCTGGTTTTCTGCGCCGGCGAGCCACAGTTGTTTACGCTGGAGAAGCTGATGAAGGCATCGGCGGAGTTGCTGGGAAGAGGTACTTTAGGCACCACGTATAAGGCGGCGATTGATATTGATACCCGTTTGATTGTCTGTGTGAAGAGATTGGATGCAGCCAGATTGGCCGGAACAGGTAAAGAAGCGTTTGAAGAACACATGGAATCGGTGGGTTGTTTGAGGCATCCAAATTTGGTTCCACTCCGGGCGTATTTTCAGGCCAAAGAAGAACGGCTTTTGGTTTATGATTTCCAACCCAATGGCAGCCTCTTCTCATTAATTCACTGTAAGTTTCATACCATTTTCAACCATCTTGATCATTTACACCATATATTTTGCATAGATTTTTTTGCTTGTTTAAAAGCCATTAAATGCTAGCTAACATTGTCGGATTGTCATTTTTTTTTTGGGCTTGTTTTGATGCTGGATTTGAAGTAATTAAAAAGTTTCTACCTTGAAGTTGAAGGGAATTCTGTCAGATTATTATAGTAATGAGTACTAATAATTTCTAGACTTTGAAACTAATAAATCTAATCATCCGGGGGGCGTCAGAAATGACAAGATATGGTAAAAAATTCTGCAGCTTCCAGCAAACAGAATCTAACAGCTGACAACATTGGATAACGAGTCAGTTTGTTTTTAATGTTTTCATCTGCTAAATTAAGGGCTTTTTTTACTCAATCATGAGTAGCTGAAGTAGTTTAATCTCAACTAAATCCCGTGACAACGTATATACTGTTTCACGTGAGCCTACTTTGAAAATTAGAAAAAGTTGGAATTGATTGCTTAATCGTGTAGTCTCCGCCAGTACCCCATCACCTTTTTTGGCCCAAAATAGCGGTTGTCTGTTCAACGGCCTTTACCCTCGGTCTTGGTCTCTTCACAGTTGACTCTATTCTTGGCTAGTAAAGTAGTAATGTCATTAAGCAAATGTAGTTACGTTCCAAAATAATTATTCTCTTTGTCGTACTATTTATAATTTTGGGACAAAAGGAGTACTTCCTCTGTCTCAAAATTATTGTCCAGTTTAAGATTCCACTTTTAGTACAATTTAAACTAGAAATGAAAACTCAAATTGGACAATAATTATGGGACGAAGGGAGTATTATGTTTAAAGAATGTAGTGTTTTTTTTTTTTTTTAAGGCTCCATTGGTTCCAATTGTATTGGCATTTCAACAGATCATGATGTTGAATCCCTTTTTTTTTTTTTTTTAATAACTGCTATAAGTCTGAAGCTTTTATTGAACAGATGTTGGTAAAGTAATGTCCCTGCTTCCACTGTATTATCAATTGTGTTGCTTTGTTCAGGTTCCAAGTCGGCAAGGACAAAATCACTGCATTGGACATCATGCTTAAAAATAGCGGAGGATGTAGCTCAAGGACTCTCCTACATTCACCAAGCTTGGAGGCTGGTTCATGGCAATCTCAAGTCTTCCAATGTACTACTAGGATCCGATTTCGAAGCCTGCCTAACCGACTACTGCCTGTCAGTCCTGGCTAATTCTGTCCCAACCGGCGAACAACAGCTGGATTTTGCAGCCTACAAAGCTCCGGAAACTCTCAACTCCCACGACCAATGCCATGCTGCAACATCAAAGTCTGATGTTTACTCATTCGGGATTCTTCTAATCGAGCTTCTAAGCGGGAAACATCCATCTGAGCATCCAAATGTACAAGGATCTGATGACCTGATCAAATGGGTGAAATCTGTTAGGGAGGAAGGAAATGGAGAAGAATGTAACAATAACAAAGTAGATATGCTTGTTGAGGTGGGCATAGCTTGCAGTATGAACTCTCCTGACCAACGGCCGACAATGTGGCAAGTATTGAAAATGATACAAGAGATTAAAGAGGCAGTGGTTATGGAGGATTAATAATTAAGTCGAATTGGCCTCTTCATTTGCTAGTAACTCATTATTAGCCATTGGTATCTCGTATTGTACAGTACTAAGTAGAAGAAAGGACATAACAATCATTCTTTGTTTTTTTTTTTTTTTTGAAAAGGACAAACATTCTTTGTTATCATATGCCATAATGTAAGAATATGTGTCTGCAGCAATACGGTCTGCAAGCACAGTAGATGGATCTTTTGCGGGTATTACTGAAAGTATCCATCACATTTAGCACTTTACCAACTTTTCTCGTTGTAAAGTTGCATTTTAGCTAAGTTTTCAGGGACTAAACAGAAGATAATCAAGAGAACTGTGAGCACAGGAGATTCATACAACATTCCCTTGCAAATATTATAATCAATCAAAACTACATCTTTGACCATTAATGAGTTTTTGAACTCATCTTTCCCTTGATTGAAAAACAAACATTTACTCTCTCGGACTCAATTCAATAGGAACAAGTACCTTTTTATTCTAAGTATTCCAAAAGCTTAGATCGACATCAGCAGTTTAAATCAAGAGTTTTCCGTGCATTCATTTTATCTTGTGGTTTGTTAAAGATAACACCACCGTGAGAAAGAATTGGTAATTTTGAGATAGTGCTCTGATTGTGTTTTTGAAAGTCTTAGCTAAACTGGTTTCTTTCATCAGTCTCTTTACCTTACTCCATGAACTGCACCAATTTGGCTTTGCCAGAAGCAGTGGAATGATTCAAATACAAATGGAGAGGATGCTCAAAGACAATACTAAAATACCTTCAATGTAACCTTGATACAACTGACCAGTGCATGAAATGCCGCGTAAGGCGCTCACTAGTCAAAGTTTTGAGACAAAGGGAGTACATTCAAGCTTTTTTTAGAGAGAGATAAACAACCAACAAACAAGAAATAGTTGGTGCAATAATTCCACCAGTGAACATGAATTCTAACAAGCCTCTCACTAGTCACTAGTTAGATACTAGTACTTAATTTCTTGAAGAAGCGAGCAAAGTTCTTATCGTTTTCACAGTGCCGCTTCATCACTTTGTAAACTTCAATCAATAGGTTTGGGAACAGGCTTGCAAAATAGTTGTAATACGCTTCCGGGTTTACTTCCAATTTCCCTTGATTTCCTTGGGGAGGAGTGGTTGAGCCCAACAACTTTTTAATGTCATCAGGGAAGTCATCAAAATGAACATACTTATTGCGTATGAGCCTCACCAAGTCTGTGACACTTTTGAATTTGTAATTTATTCGGCCAAGGTTTTCCTTCCAAACAAGAGTCCGAAGATCAGAGTCCAACGCGTCGATCCACTCTCTTCTGCCGTTGAGAACTATGCTTGAGGTTAATCTACTGTTTAAGTCAATGAAAAGCTGGGAATTTCGTGGCTCTCCATCTAGCTTTACTTTTGTTTCACCAAGAAATGCTAACCGATTTCCGTCATCCCAAAAAAGTGGATGAGCAAGAACCACTTCAGCAGTAGGTCTGTGTGTTGGAACATGGTTCAACAGGCAGGAGATGAGTTCTTTAGCTTCAGGTTGTTTATCCAATGACGAAAGATCAGCCTCGTTGGCACTTCGAATGTTGTGATCGCGTTCAGCGTGAGTGTCCCCAAAAGGGAGCTCGCCAGCAGTGATACAGAAATAGTAGACACAACCTAAACTGAATAAATCCACTGCCATTGTTTGACTTCCACCGCACAGCACTTCTTGAGGTTGCCATCCCGGAGTCCCAAAACCTGTGGCAAGCGGACCCAAAGAAACCATACCCGGGGGCAGACGTTTGCTGAGTCCCATGTCCGACAGCTTCAGGCATAAACCAGGTTTGTTAATGATCAACATGTTTTCGGGCTTCAGGTCCCGATGAACCATTCCGATTAAATGTAAATGCGCAAGTCCAACAGCCATATCCCTCATCAATTTTATTAAAGTATGAGAAGGAGTCTCATTGTTATTACCTTCCCATAACTTAGTGCCCTGAATCGCATTTTTCACTTTACCCATACGGACTATGTAGTTGCTATCTTGGGCACCCGAATTCTTGCCTGAAAACATGTGAACAAGGTCATATAAGTTGCAGATACAACGCTCCAGAATAATATACACGAAGTCGTCATCTTCTTGCACTCCAAAGAACCGGGCGGTATAAGGATGGCCATCAGTTGCGATGAGGTTCCGGACTTCCTTATAGTCGGTGGAAGTGTGAGCCTTGACAAGACGCTTAACAGCAACTTCTTGAATTTCAATTCGGCCATCAAACTCATATTCATAAGTGCCCTCATACACAACAGTGCCATTAGCCCCTTTAGCAATCTCATTGTCAGTTCGGTTTAGCTTACCCATCGGGCGCCCGGTGGTGGTGTTCCTGTCGGGTCTTTCTATGAACCGCAAAGACAGTACGGCGTAAATGAGCAAACATTTAAACAACTCCTTAACTTCACCATTGATGAACCAATGATCAATCATCCATTTGGTGTTGGCAGTAACGCAGAGCCAAAACCAATAGATAGGGATATCTGAGACCAAGTAAGCAGCTAGCCTTAAATACTCGCGAAGAGCCTCCACAATAAACTCCGTGTCATCCATCAAGCCTAGATCAGTACTTGACCCTCAAGTCAACTAAGGTCAAATTTCACCGGAGAACAAATTGAAGAAGAAAGGTCCTCCCCCTTTTTCTGTGGAATTTTAAAAAGCTGTGACTGTGAGAGAAAAGGGAAATTGAAAACAAATCAGAACAGATATACTATATGATTGATAGGGGGTGAAAAAGGCCTTGGCCGGCGGCGACCAAAATGATCTGATGGAAAGGTTGTTAGAAAAGGCATAGAAATTGGAAAATAAAACACGCTACTACTCGAAAGTGTGAAAGTGGGTGTTCAGATCAAACTTCAAAGTCTTCGCAACGGACAAGATATCTCTGTTTTTTTTCCAACCCCCCCGAAACACGTGGCAGCTGTTCGTTGGTGGGACGCCATGGGAGTATTCACCTGAACATTAGTGGCTCTGCCGGCGGGAAATGTTTGATAAAACTATCGTCCTGTTCTGCCCCCTCTTGTCAAGTTCTCCCTCCTTTTTTTTTTTTAATTTAATAAGTCATTTTGAGCTTTAACTATAAAACTAGGTGGTGGTACGACCGCACAAGGTGCGGTCAACCCGTACTCCCGTAGTGATATTTTTTGAATCATATAAATATAAAAGATTTCTAAAAGTTAAACTATAAATACAAATTTTGTAAATCACAGTTAGATTGCATTAATTCACCACCAACCCTACAAATGAACTATGATAAAAACTTACAAATTTGGGAGAGTGCAAACTTATAACGTGCTCATGAATTTTGGAAGATTAATCAGTGTTAGTAAATTGGGTGTTCACCGCACTAATAACTCTTTGCTTTGTTTGGTTATATTTGAAGGGAAATGGTTCTCAAATCCAAAACAATATATTTTGGTTCTTCATTTTAGCTTTCTACAGATAGAGATTAATTAGTTAGTTGGTTACATATTGCAACACAAATAAAACTTACTATTAGAAACCCTTCAAAGTAAAACACAAGTGAAAATTCAGAATGCTATGCACTAACCATAGATGAAAAAGGAAGATATTCTTCTTTATTTATTTATTTATTTATTTGATAATCTAAAGAGGAAATATTCAATTACAAGTACATAAAAACATTCCTGTTAACTTCCACCTAAAGGATGGCTGCTTCCAAGTCCAATTAGACTACTAATGTTGTTGTAATAACTATTCATTGCTACGAAGTGGGAATGGTAAATATCTCCCCATGTACTGAACAAAATTGTAACATTCCAAAATTAATATAACCTTGCTGAAACTCGGAGACAATACTACATACTTATCCAAAGCCTCCGAGATGTCGTATCCGTCCAAGGCATCGGTCACCGCAATACTGTTTCCACCCAACGCATCCATCGTTGATTGAAGGCTATTGAAATGGGAATTTTTGTTGTTAGCTTTTTGGCTATCTAGCTGCATGAATATACAAAAGTAAAGCATTTCCAGACTGCTACTTCCTCTTCACCACACTGTTCAATGTTCATGTACAAATTTGAGTCTTTCAATCAATTTGCAAATCCCGCTACAAGTCCAATGAAACGAGGCAACATATGCATTTTCAGCTTGTTCCTCCCACTCACATTCTACTAAGTTGAAGAAAGGAAAGACAAAGGGTCATTATTAAAACATGCATAATGAATGCAGGATAGCAGCAAGTCCCAGAAAAGCTTATTAGCTTAACAAAAGACCATAAAACATTCAGCTTCATCACAATGGTCATGGGTTGTAGTCATCAAAGGTTTCGATTAATTGATTTAATTTTACATCAGTACAAGAAAACTCTTTGCAGAGAACACAACAAAGAGTGTTTTTCCAACTGCCGCAGGCAAAAAAAAAAAAAATCAGACTTCATGGAGCAGTGAACGATCAATTCCGGTGACCACCGACTGCTTGGCTTTGTGAAGGGGAGAGAAAAAAATTGAGGCGCGCGAATAGTCAAGGGACTCGTATGCAGAAGCCACTGGCAACCGTGAGTATACCGTGCCATTCGAGGCTTTAATATAGGTAGATTTCTTTTCTTTTGGACCCTAAAACTTGCAGACCCTCTAGGGAACAAAGCCCAAACGGCCCATATAACGAAAGACATTTTTGGTTTTTTTAGGCAATAGAAATAGTAGAAATCACAAGAAACGTCAGGTTTCTTCCATTACAAATTCTCCGCTTTTTTACTCGGGGAGATTTTTATAGCCACCTACTTTAGTAGTCAAAGCCACCGAAAAAAATTGGACCATTTTACCCCTGTCATTTAATACAGTAGAGAGAGAAAGAGAATGAGTAATTCAGAGGTAAAAAAAAAAAAACTTAAAAAAGGGTCCGAATCAGACAAGAAAACCGTCCCGGTTCAACCGGGACGCGCAACAAATGGGTCCGGCCATCGAACCGGACGCGTTCATTACGCGTCCCCGGTTCAACCGGGACGCGTGTGTTGCGCGTCCAGTCCGGGTGAAATCAGACCGGACGCGCAACACACGCGTTCCAATTGAACCGGGGACGCGCAATAAACGCGTCCGGTTCAATGGCCGGACGCGTTACACACGCGACACGCGTCCCGGTTGAACCGGGGACGCGCAATAAACGTGTCCGGTTCAATGGCCGGACACGTTTGTTGCGCGTCCCTGCTCAACCGACGCGTGTGTCATGAGTCTGTTTGTTCCGGTCCAACCGGGACGGCCCGGTTCGGTGAACAATATTTTTTTATTTTCTTTTTAATTTTAATTTCATACATGTTATGTTAATTTAATTAAGTAAGAATATTATTATTTTATTTGTTAATTTAATTAGTTATGTTAATTAATTTAATAGTTGAATTTTATTTATTTATTGCATGTTATGTTAATTTAATTAAGTAGGAACATTATTATTTTATTTGTTAATTTAATTAGTTATGTTAAGTTATTTAATTAGTTGCATTTTATTTATTTATTGCATGTTATGTTAATTTAATTAAGTAAGAATATTATTATTTTATTTGTTAATTTAATTAGTTATGTTAAGTAATTTTTAGTTAGTTGAATTTTATTTATTATCTAAGTTTAATTAATTAGAAATAATCTTTATTTATTGGCAAAATTAAATAATTAAAGAATTATTTGGAATAAGTATTTAATTAATTATTGGAAATGCAATTAATTAAATAATTAATTAATTGCTAAATTAATGAATTATAGCTATTTAGGTAGGTATTGGGAAATTTAATTTACTAAATAATTTTGGATTAGTTGAGTTTTTGTATTTTTTATAATTAATCTTTTTACTGTAAATGTATGTTTTTTTATTATTTATCATAATTGTATATCTTTTTTAAATGATTGGAATGTGTGTTTAATTTAATTTATTATAATGCAGTTTTTTTTTGTGGTAATTTTATGTTTAATTTGCAGGATTCTTTCGAAAATTTTGGTGGCGATGGTGAAGATTATAGTATATTGTTTGCTACAGATGAGGAATTTTTGGAAAAGGATGATGCTGTTGCTTGGGTGAAAGGCATGGGCAATGTAAATAGTATGATAATAAACGTAGTTTATGGCAAGAGAAAGAATGGTGTTCTGATGAGATGTTGTAAAGGGAGAAAGGTGTCAGTTGATGATGGTGAATACTATGTCTCATCAGATTCGAAGACACAAATCACTGGGTGTAAATTTAGGTTATATGTGCACTTTGTTGATGGAAAGTGGCGCATTCGTGTGTATCCTGGTGAGTTTGGAATGCATAACCACGAGCTGTTTGACGAAGATCATCCCACAAGGGGCCTTAGCGATGGAGTGAAACAGCATATATAGGGTATGTCCAAAGATACCGTGTCAGATCATGGCTGCGATTGAGAGGATATTTCCAGATGAAAAAGTTAACAGACGGCAAGTCTATAATTTCAGGAAGAAATTGCGTAGTGAGGGGTTCCCGGTCTTGGGTGACTCGAGTGTCATGGATGTCGCGACGAAGACACTATCGGTGGCCAAGCATCATCGTTACATCATCATGACAGATTGCAATCAGGAGACAGGTGTGCTGACTCGTGTTTTTTTTGCACATCCTGATGCTGTCAATTTATTTTGCACTTATTTCTGGGTCGTCGGGATAGACTCAACATACAAGACAAAAAAGTACAAAATGCCGTTGGTTGAGTTTATTGGGATGACACCGTGCAACCAGAACTTCTTGATTGCATACGCCCTTTTGAGTGACGAGATTGGTGAATGTTATTATTGGGCTTTGAGACAGTTTAGGGATTTGCTTCCTGGTCATCTGTCTCCGACTGTTATTGTTACTGATCGAGAACCGGGGTTGATGGCGCCGCTGGGTATGGTGTTTCCAGATTCATGCCACTTGTTGTGTGTTTGGCATGTTTATGAGAATGTAAAGCGACATCTCAACAAGGAATTAAAATTTAAGGCCAAGATTGCAAATGGTTTTGCATATGGGTTGTGGAAGCTAATAATCAGGACAATGACGGATTTAGGGGGGGTCAGGGTGGTCGATCAACCCCCCGGTTGGCGGGATTTGGCTAAATTTTTTCTTAGTAGGTTGTCCGTTATTTGAAATTTTTTCAGTTCGACCCTCCGGTGACGGTTGAATAATCCTATTTTCGACCCCGCGATTTGAAAATTCTCGTTCCGTCACTGAGAACACCAGTGACGGATTTAGGGGGGGTCAGGGTGGTTGGTCGACCCCCCGGTTAGCCGGATTTGGCTAAATTTTTTCTTAGTTGGGTGTCCGTTATTTGAAATTTTTTCAGTTCGACCCTCCGGTGACGGTTGAATAATCCTATTTTCGACCCCGCGATTTGAAAATTCTCGTTCCGTCACTGAATCAGGATGAGTACAATAAAGCTGTTGCCGTAATAAACCGTCGTTGGCACAATTTTTCGAGAGTTCTTAATTATATCCATAAGACATGTCAAGTGGTTGACTACAAATTCGTCAAGGCATGGACGAATACTGTGTTTCATATGGGCAATACTACTACAGGTAGGGTCGAGAGTGCGCACAAGCAGTTAAAAACTTGGCTGGAAACATCCACTGTGTCGCTGGATACACTTTGGGCTAAGGTGCGCTTAGAAATTCAGAGTCAGCTAACTGAAATACGGTAAGTTCTATTCCATTATATTATATTTATTATAATATATTTAGTATTTTTGTCCGTATTTTTTGCAGTTTCCGTAGAATGTTTTACAGTAAGTGGTTACAAAAAATATAATGCTACATTTAGGTACAAACTGGAATACTCGAGACAGAAAATTGGCACCTATTATTGCGGTTTTCCACTGAACCGCTTGAAGTGTCAAGTTTCACATACATGTTTGAAAAAACTGAACACTGAGTGGTCGAAGGCGCAAGAGTGGAAAGAAGTGATAAGCAATATGCCCAAGAAAGCTAGGAATCACGCTACCATCTTTCAGCCCACCGGGTACTTCATCTGTCACTAGCCATATAGTTGGATCAATTTCATCAGAAACTCTCGACTGGCTGCTGCCGCCTGTACCATGAATGAGTAAACCAAATATTATTTATTATATTTTATACACATACAACAATTCAATAAATATAAGTGAAAAAAATTAATTAAAAATAATTACATAATTTTAAAAAATTAAAATAATTAAATATAGATATTTGGTACCTGATGATGCAATAGTGGTAACTGGACGTGTAGATACTCCAGTGGATCCGGGACCTCGGCTAGGGCACACGGGATCAATGAGAGGGGGAGGACGTGTAGATACTCCAGCGGAGACGGGACCTCCGCGAGGGGCACGGTTCGGGGAGGGAGATGCCTGAGCGGGCGGGAGAGATGAGGCCGACTACCGGTAGATGTATCCTTTGGGAATTGACCGGGACGCGGGAAAGAGGGACTATAATGTGGACTGCGCCACACACCACTCATAGGAAAAGGGATAGGGGTAGGGGGAGAGGGTAAACCACCAGGACCAGGCTGTGGACAACCAAACAGAGGAGGAGGGTAACTACTAAGATTGTATATAGGCGTATCTCTGTGATATGCACCCATCCTAACACTGTCATGCACATCATCCTCATCAAACTCAATCTCCTCATCCCCCTCATCCTCATTCTCCTCTTCCAGGTCGTCCTCAGAATAATCGAGTACATTAATCGGCTGACTAGACCGAGTCTGAAACGGTACACCACCCATATTGACCTAAGTCATTTTCATTCGCTTCTTTAACTCTTTTTCCTCTTTTTTCTTCCGACGACTCATGGTCAGATAACGCGCACGAACCTTACACTTACTAGTATCTTCAGTATCACTAGTATCACTATCATCATTATCATCACAATAAACCTATAAATAAAATTTTATTCATCATCATCATATTTTCCTAGTCTAAACAAATAATTATACACATTTCCTAAATCCTAAATAGTTTAATAATTAATTACACTTTGATTAAACGTACAATTCATATAATAATGATTTGCGATGTACATAATATAAAAGTAATTATCATACAATAATTAACGAAACAAATTAATCCACCCTTAATCTATTGTACTTCATTATAAACTAAAATACTTTACCAAATTCTTTATTAAATTATTATTAATTATAATTAATCCAAAATACTCAACTATTTTACAAAATATTTATATTAATTTAATTAATCATAAACTACATTACAAACAAATTAGATTAACTTTACTAATCTACTTAATTAAATTAAAAATATAACCTAAATACTTTAATAACTATTTAAATTAAGTAATTTAATCAATTAAACTAATTAGGTAGTGAACTAATCTACTATTAATTAAATTATTTTTTAAAATTCAACTAATTTACATACTATTTAAATTAATTTAATCAATTAAAATGATTAATTTACTAATCTACTATTAATTAAATTAAAAATATAACCTAAATACTTTAATAACTATTTAAATTAAGTAATTTAATCAATTAAACTAATTAGTTAGTGAACTAATCTACTATTAATTAAATTAGTCTTTTAAACTCAACTAATTTACAAACTAGTCAAATTAAATTATTTACACATTTAAACTAAATAACAAACTAATAGAGAAGCTCAATCTAAATCACAAACTATTAATTAATAAATAACTACATTATAACCCTAATTACATTAAATTAAACATAATTAAAAATTAATAATAAATTAAACAAATTTAAAAATAAAAAAAAATAATTCTGACCGGAAAAAAAATTCCGGCCGCCAGACGGGCAGAGAAGGCGTCCAGCGGCCCGACCGGGACGCGCAAGAAATGCGTCCCGGTTCAACCCGAAACGAGCAAAACGCGCATTCCGGGTTGAACCGGGACGCGTTTCTTGCGCGTCCCGGTCGCGCCGCCGGACGCCTTCCATGGCCGTCCGGCGGCCACACAAAAAAAAAAAAAAAATTTCTAACTGCCAGACGGCTTTTCGCTCGATCGGGACGCGCAAGAAACGCGTCCCAGTTCAACCCGAAACGTGCGTTCTGCTCGTTCCGGGTTGAACCGAGACGCGTTTCTTGCGCGTCCCGGTTGCTCTGTCCGTCTGGCGGCCAGAAACCTTTTTTTTTTTTTCTACAATTCACAAATTTTTTTTTTAAAAAAAAACGTACAGTTGATGAGATCGGCTCTTTCTCGCTTTGATTCTTCCGTGTTGCCATCAATTTTGGATCAAATTAGACTTCAAATTGGGGTTTGGAAGGGTGGTGGTTTCAAGTTTTCTCTCTTTTTTCCTTTGGTGGAAGTTTGAAATGTGAGGGGCAAAATGATCCAAAAGAATTTATGGTGGCTTTAAGAAGTAAATATGGTAGCTTCAAAAACTAACACCCTTTTTACTCATGTGTAGCAATTTTTCCCCTTGTATTAAAAAATTAACAGTATTGAAAACCAAAATTTGAGTTATTTTCACATATTTATTAAACTGTTTGGCGTAAAAATCTTTTTTCTTTTCTATCAACTGATAATTTTTAGTAAACTATTTGGCGTATAATGTTTTTTCTTTTCTATCACCTGATAATGCTGAACCGGTGACTAAAAATACCGTGACGTGAATCAAAGCACTGAGTTATTTTCACATATTTATTAAACTTTGCAATGCGAAGGAATATAAACATTAATTAAGTAACTTTGGCTTTTTCTTCTTGGAGATTTTGGCTAATTTGCGCTTACTGGATGTGAATATATTCCATTTGGTGTCAATCTGGATTTGCATATACCCGATTAACCGTCAATCGGCGGGAGAAAAATGATTAGTTGATCACAAAATTCTCAAAAACTTAAAGCAGGTGGATGAAAGTTTTACAGCGTGAGATGATAGTCTGATTGCATTTGTTAGGTTGTGCATGCATAGGCTGAAGTAGGATTTTCCTCAATGAAAAGCATAGGCTTTTTAAGGTTGAATTCAATAGGAAGGAGTTTGAGTTGTAGTGAAAGGAACAAAAAACATTCTTGATGGCTGAACCAAAAGCAGGGGAATGATACAAATACATATGGAGAGGAGGATGCTCAATAATAATACTAACGCTCTGTTACTAATACCAACGATACAACCTTAATAGTACAACTGACGGAGCAGGGCACGAAATACCACGCAGCGCACAATCACTAGTCGCACTAATTTTGAAACAAAAGGCAGCACTAACAAACTACTTTTATCGGAAATAAACAACCTAGTGACTAACAACAACAAGAAATAATGGGCGCATTCCACTAGAGAACATGAATTGTATGCAGAGAGCCTCTCTGGTTTAGATGTTACGTACACTCCTGAAGTACCTAGCAAACACCTCCTCGTGTCTACAATGCTGCTTCATCACCTTGTAAACTTGAATCAATAGATTGGGAAACCGAGTACCAAAATAGTTGTAATATGCGGTTGGGTTTACTTCCAATGAGCCCAATATCAGTTTAATGTTATCGCGGTGCTCAGAATAATGTACGTACTTGTTGCGTATGAGTCTCACCAATTCCTTGACACTATTTAGAGTGTAACCATTGCCCCAAGGCTGAAGCTGAGGGTTCAACGCGTGGATCCATTCTCCATCGGGGAATGTGTCTGGTGGGAGAACTGTGCCTGATGTCCCATTTACGGCAATTATAAGCTGGGGATTTAATAGCTGTCCATTTAAATCTCTAGCAGTTAACTTGTCACTTGTGTCACAAAGGAATGATAACCGGGTGTCCTCATCCCAAAAGAGTGGATGAATAAGCACCTCTTCCGCAGTAGGTCTCCGTTTTGGAATATGGCTCAGCATCCGGGAGATGAGTTCGTTAGCTTCGGGAAGATTAGCCAATAACATCAGATTAGCCTGGTTGCCATTTTCGATGTTCTGACGACGCTCTAGATCATCACCTCCAAAAGGGTGCCTGCCAGCGGTGATGCAAAAAAAGTAGACACAACCTAAACCGAATGAATCCACTGCCCTTGTTAGCCTTTTATTACCCAAAATCACTTCTTTAGGTTGCCATCCCGGACCCAAACCAACCCTATGACCTGCTGGCAGACGTTTGTTGCTGAGCCCCATGTCTGAAAGCTTGATGCGCAACGATGGTTCGTTGCTGATCAAGATGTTTTCCGGCTTCAGATTTCGATGAACCATTCTTTTTGATTGACAAAGATAGTCAAGTCCGACAGCCATCTCCATCATTAATCTCAATAAAGTAGGAGAAGGACGACGATGATCTCCATTATTAGCCTGCTCCCACAACTGAATACCCTGAAGAGAATTTCTCGCTTCATCCATGCGGGCATTGTCGTTTGCATCGCCCAAATTGTGGGGCGAAAACATGCGAACCAGGTCACCTATGTTGCAGATACAATGCTCCAAACAAACATACAAGTAGTCTGGATCATTTTTCACTCCAAAGAGCTGCGCTATGTTTGGATGTCCATTTGCTCTCCTGAGATTCTTGATTTTTTTATAGACGCCCGAATCATTGTGAACCCTCTTGTCAAGACGCTTCACAGCAACTCTTTGTGGTGTACCTTCCAACACATATGCATATGCTCCATCATGCACATATTCATATGTGCCCTCGAACACAGCAGTACCATTAGCCCCTTCAGATATCACCGTATTCGTTATCGCCAACTCGCCGATCTGAAGCACTCTGCTCTTGACATAAATTGCTCTGACCATGATGGCCCCTACGATTAACGATACCAAAGAAGCAAGCGCTTCCTTGACTTGGCCATACACGAACCCACGATACGTCATAAGGAGGATTGCGAGACAGAAGAGTATAGAAAGAACCAATAAGATGCCCTTTCCGAAAATGATAAGATCTGGCATTGCACGCCTTTCCCTCTCGCGAAGAAACTCCAAAAAGGCCTGGTAATCCATTAAAAGCAAAGATCAATGTACTTGACCTCAAGTCAGCTAGAACTATATTGTTTCCCAATTTCACCGGACAGCAACAGAAGAAAGGTCCTCCCCCTCCCACCTTACTGTGGACTTTTAATTAGAAGCACGGGAGAAGAGGAAAACCGTAAACAATCAGAACTGAATGTATGATTGATAGGGGAAAAAAAAGGTAGGCCGGCGACGATCAAAATGATCTGAACCTATTGCCCCACTGATGGTTGAAAAAGGGATAGAAATCAGAAATTTATACTGGAACTCTGAAAGTGTGAAAGCAGCAATGTTCAAATCAAACTTCAAAGTCTTCACAACGGACAAGGTGCTCTCTGTTTATTTACTGGGAAAAAGCTCATTCGTGGGAGTTGTTATTTTTTGTTTTATTTTATTCTGTTTATTAGTGGTGTAGTTATTCTAACAACCAAAACATTACTATTTAAAAAGAAAAAAAAAAAAGAAGCAAAACATTAGTGGGTTTGCCAATGCCCGCAGGAAATGTCTGATAAATAGTATCCAGTTCTCCCTCCATTTTTCTAATTTTAAAAAAGTCATTTTTGAGCTTCAAGTCTTCAACTATAAATCTTTAAAGAAACGTCGGGTTTTGTTCCATTACAAATTCGGAATTCCCACCCATTTATTCATTTTCAGCCGTTTTCTCCTCTATTTTAATCTGACACAGTTCTGGAAGCAAAAAAAATTGAGTTATTCATTAATGGAAAAATTCTTATCAAACTTTGGAAATTCCTATTAAAGGTGTAAAATTTCTTTAATTCATTTAACATTTTCTGTGACATTTTAACCCTTTTGTGCTAAAGACAAGTTTTTGTATTCTTTTTCCTTTCAGTAACTATCGCATTGGAGATGAGAAAAAGCTTTAACACACGAATTCTTTAATGACTGCCTCAAAAACTTGTATTGCTCAGAATTAATTAGTAACAATTTTTTGATTTGAGGCTTTTTTCTTCAGTTTTTTTTTTTTCACTTTCTTGAATTTCCTTAAACACCATATCATTAATCTTTCCAGGCTCTTCTGCTCAATTTCGTACTGGCCAAATCACTAAACCGCTCTATTTCTTACCCACTCGAATATGGATGTATTGGCTTATGGATACCATAACCAAAAGGGTTGTGGTGGAGTGGTAAGAACTCCTCCACCTTTAACCATATGTCGATGGTTCAAATCTGGTCATGGGCATGGTACCATGAGCAGGGGGAACTTTATGTAGAGTTTGGTTAATGAATAAATTATGTAGAGTTTGGTTAATGAAGAAATTATATATGATTGAGGTGATGGATATATATGTGCTCATGTGTTGTTGTGAGTTTCCATCTTGTGTTTTCTCGCTTTACAATTGTTGGATTGTTTTGGGATGGGAATTGGGAACAGTATTATGTTTAAAGAATGTATTTTTTTTTTTTTGGTGTGGCTCCAGTGATTATTGTATTGGCATTTGGAGCCATGATCATGATCTTGAAATCTTTCTTTCTTTTTTACTGCAATAAATCTACTTCTGAAGCTTTAATTGAAGAGATGTTGGTAAAGTAATATCCTGCTTCCGCTGTCTTGTCAATTGTGTTGCTTTCTTCAGGTTCCAAGTCGGCAAGGACAAAGTCACTGCATTGGACTTCATGCTTGAAAATAGCAGAGGATATACCTCAAGGACTCTCCTACCTCCACCAAGCTTGGAGGCTCCTTCATGGCAATCTCGAGTCTTCCATTGTCCTCCTAGGATCCAAAGCCTGCCTAACTCACTACTGCCTGTGAGTCCTGCCTGATTCTTTCCAAACCGGCAAACAGCAGCCTGACTTTGCTCCGGAAAATCTCAACTCCCACGACCAACTTCAAGCTGCAACATCTAAGTCTCATGTTTACTCATTTCGGGTACCTTTAATCCAGCTTCTAAGCGGGAAACATCCATCTGAGCATCCTAATGTACAAGGATCCGACGAGCTGGCGAGATGGGTGAAGTCAATTAGAGACGAAGGAAATGGAGAAGAAAGTAACAACAACAAAGTTGATATACTTGTTGAGGTGGGCATGACTTGCAATATGAACTCCCCTGAACAAAGGCCGACAATGTGGTAAGTTTTGAAAATGATACAAGGATTAAAGAGGCTGTGGTTATGGTGGATTAACAATTGGTTGAAGTGGCCTATTAGTTTGCTAGTTAGTCATCATTAATCATTAAGATTTCGAATTGTACAGTAATTAAGTAGTATAAACTATCATTCATTGTTATCATATGTCCTAATGCCGAAAGTTGCTATCACTAATCGTTCTTTAATTAAATTTCCTTATCATAAAGTTGCAATTTTTTACAAGAAAGTCATACAACGTTGCCTCTGTAATCACTCAAAACTACTTCTTTGGCCATTAATCAGTTTTTGGAAACTTACCTTTCCATTGTATTGAAGAACAAACTTGGTACTCTTGCCGACTCAGTTTCACTGGAATATGTTCCCTTTCTCTATATTCCAAGAGCTTAGTTCCCCAACATCCATCCACTAAATAAAGAATCTTACCATATCAATTACTTTCATATTGTGATTTGTTCTTATGGACAGTGGAATGTGTTTTAGAGTTGGATTAGGATTACAAGTTTCCTATTTAAAGGGATAATACTGTATGAGGACAGTGAATGATTGTGAATATACCCTTGGGGGAGGAACGCTTTGTTACGCTGTAATAGATTTGTCTGTTGACTCAAAGCAACTTGTTCCGGTGATGATGACAGGTATTACTCTGTAAAGCTCCTAATTTTGTTTGCTTCTTTTTTGTGTGGAGTAATCATTTAACTACATTCATCATACTGCAGGAATAGTTGATATGAGTTCGGTCTTAATTAATCATTTTATCATAGATTGAGTCCTAAAATACATATATATTAATTCCTGATCCTTATATCATATCCATGTTTGTACTATCTATTAAAAATGTATGTTACCGGCTTGGAATTAGCGCAGTCTAACAAGTAGTGGTAGGATGAATTGATTCTAGTCTCACAGGAATGGAATGTGGAAACCCAAGTCTCTGCAATCTGGGAATAATGTGAAGTGAATAAACTCTTGGATTTTCCTTGGGGATCCTGGCTACTTGTGCTTACTGAACATGAACAGATTTGATTTGGTGTGAATATGGATTTTTGTATAGTTGATGAACTCTTTTATTTGCACCAAAAATTTTGATTAGTTGCATAGTTGGTATTTGAATGCATAGGTTGAAAGGATGATCCTCAATGAGGTACATGCTTACTTAGGTTGCAACAAAAAGAGTTTTGGAATGCAACCTGCACATTTTGTAGTTAGGACGAAAACATTTTGGATTCTGCGTTTCTTCATCAATAATGTTGAAACTTCCACTAGATGGTTTTTGGCGTTGAAATTGAAGGTGGAACTCCTCTTTGTTTCTATCTTCAAGGTATACACACTTTTGTCCAGAGCATATATGCTTTTGAAATAGCTCTGATTTGTGTTTTTGAAAGGCTTGGCTAACTGGCTTCTTTCATGTCTTTCCCCCTTCTCCATGAATGTTTGGCTTATGTAGGAGGTATAATGATGATGGCTGAGCCAAAATCAGTGGAATCACTGTATATATACATTTGGAGAGAGGAAGCTCAATAACTATACTAACACTCTGTTATTAACCTTAATACAACAGAACTAGTTTTTGAAACAAAAGGGAGGGGTACATTGAGAAGATACTTTTACAGAAAATAAACAACCAACAAACAAACAAGAAATTAATAGTGGCGCAATCCACTAGTGAACATGAATTGTAATGAGGCGGCTCACTAGTTAGATTTTACGTTCTTGAAGTACGTGGCAAAGGTCATCTCGTTTTCACAGTGCCGCTTCATCACTTTGTAAACTTCAATGAAGAGATTTGGGAACCGACTAGCAAAATAGTGGTAATACGCTTCCGGGTTTGCTTCCAATTCCCCTTGACTTCCTTGTGGTTGTGGGGTTGCGCCCAAGATGTGTTTGATGTCATCAGGATACTCAGGAAAATGTTCATACTTGTCGCGTATGAGTCTCACCAAGTCTTTGACACGCTCGAAATCGTACCCAGTGCGCCAATACTTATTATTCCGAAGAACAGGATGCAACTCTCTGATCCATTCCTTACTGAGAACTAGGCTTGATGTATTGTCTATGTCGACTACAAGCGGATCGTTGGGACCTTTACTGGTTAGCTTCTTACTTGTTTCATGAAGAAATGATAATCGGGTAGCCTCACCCCAAAACAGTGGATGAAGAAGAACCTCTTGTGCAGTAGGTCTATCTTGGGATTCATGGCTCAGTAGGCGGGAGATGAGTTCTTTAGCCTCAGGTTGCTTATCCAAGAACGACAGATCAGGCGGGTTGCCGTTTTTAATGTTCTGGCAACGTTTGCTATCATCATCTCCAAAAGGGTGCTCACCAGCAGTGATGCAGAAATAGTACACGCAGCCTAAACTGAATAAATCAGATGCCGGTGTCGGACTTCCACCGCCACAAAGCACTTCTTTAGGTTGCCATCCGCGGGTTGAACAGCTTGTACCGATGTCTGAAAGCTTTACGCATAAGGGTAGTTCGTCGCTGATCAACAAGTTCTCTGGCTTCAGGTTTCCATGAACCATTTTTCGTTGTTTTTTGTAAGTTTTTTGATGTAGATGCACAAGTCCAGCAGCCACTTCCTTCATTAAAACCAATAAAGTTGGAGAAGGATCTCCATTATCCTTCCATAATTTAGTAGCATCATTACCATTCTTGTTCTGAATGGACTGTTTGGCTTTACCCATACGGGCGTTGTATGTTTTATCTGGAACACCCAAATTGTACCCTGAAAACATGCGAACAAGGTCACTTATGTTGCAGATACACCGCTCCAGACAAATATACAAGAATTTTTCATCTTCTTCATCCCCAACCAATCGCACAATATTTCGGTGGGTATCTGCTGCGGTGAGATACTTGATTACGCTATGAGCACTGGGATTCTGAGCCTTGTCCACACACTTGACAGCGACTTGACGATATCCATATATGCCCTCATACACCACACTTCCATTACCGCCCTTACCAATCTCTTTCGTAGTTAGCAATAACTTACCAATTCGACGCCCCCGGTTCCAGCCATATTTTGCTATGTACACTACAGCCACTAGGGTGGAACACGTCAAACCAGAAACGAAATCCATAACTTTCCCATTCACGTACCCTTGATACATCAACAGGGCCCCTGCCACAGAGAACATCCCAAGGAAAAGATTAGAGATGAAATCCGAGACAGAGGTGAAAAATTGCATCAAATCGCTTTCTTTCTCGCGATGATCCATCAGGCCACACAGGTCAAGACTTGATCTCAAGTCTACTAGTAAAGAGGAAAATTGGAAACAAAGACAACTGATGTATATGATTCAAAGGGGAAACAGGTAAGGCCGGGGTTGACCCAAAATAATGATCTGAAGCTATTGAGGCCTGGAAAAGGGATACAAATCAGAAATTTATTTATTCTCTTTACTACTACTGAAAGTGTGAAAGTGTATGTTCAGATCAAAATTCAAAGTCTTCAACAACGGACAAGATAGCTCTCTTTTTCTTTTTGTTTTCTTTTTTTTTTTTTCTTTAACTAAAAAAACACGTTAGTGGGAGTTGTTATTCTAACAACCAAGACCGTATTGGCTAGTTGGGTATGCCGGCGGGAAATGTCTGATAAAAATTATCGCCCCCTTGTCAAGTTCTCCCTCCATTTATTTAATTCTAGAAAGTCTTTTTTTTGCCAAACCCCTCTTGGGGATTCGACCCAAAAAGTCCCATATAACGAATAAGCAATTAGAAGAAGTAAAAAATAAATTGCTACAGTTTCTTCCATTACAAACTCCCGCCCTCTTAATCATGAGAAAATTCTTATTAATGGTGTTGCAGGTTTAGAAATTCTGATTAAGGGTATAAAACTTTCAAAATTCTTATTTAGGGCGTAAGAATAATTTAATTGATTGAATTTATTGTTAATGACATATCTATTCCTTTTCCTTAAAGTAAATAAATACTTTCTAATTTCCTTAATACAATACTATATAGGTTCTGCATATCTTTTATATAACTATTAGTAATGCTCGCACATCAATATGTTTTTAATATTTTGGTGTTTTAATTCCTAACTATTAGTTTTTTTTCCTAATTTTGATGTTTTATTAAAAACATCGCGCATGTTGTTAATATTTTGGTGTTTAATTCCTAATTATTAGTTTTTATTGAAACTTCTCATATTTTCCTTTAAGGAAAATAAATCATTATCCTTTTCGCTACTTTTTTATTCGTTTTGAAATGGTTTAGGACTTGGACAAAATGCGCTTTTTGTCACTCAACTTTTTAGGGTATCAAGATCGAGTCACCATAAATTTTTAATTGGCGAAAAAAGTCTTCTAGAATTCTTTTCCAATCAATTTTAGTCAATTTAATAGATTTTTTACAAAATTAACGCGAAATGTTAATCATAAAATATTTTATTAATTTTTCCTGACTGTGAGCCCCACAATCCTTTGACTTAAAAAAAACTCAAATAAAAAGAAAAAAACCTTTTCTTATATCTTTCGAGTCCGTATCCAGTGCACCCGGATATACCGTATACCCCTACCAAACACACGCACTACACGTGCTCAACATTTTTCACATTTACATTAAATGTACAAACAAAATTGTTTTCATCCATTTTACTATTTTCATCCTCACGCACAAACACACACAATTGCTGGTTATCCATAATTTATCCACAAGTTGTAAACTGGTTATCCAGAAGGGGTAAACTTGTTATCCACAAGTTGTAAACTGGTTATCCACAAAGCGTAAGCTGGTTATCCAGAAGGTGTAAACTGGTTATCCACAAGTTGTAAACTGGTTATCCAGAAGTAAAGAAACAAACAGCATGTTAATTGGGGGGCTTCGCCCCACCATGATAAACTAAATGACTCCCGCGACTACCGGAATCGCAAGTCATCAACCTGCCCCGGCTGCGCCGCCCCGCCGAACACGCCAATGTAGCTAAGGTAATCCTTTTTTTGTGTGTGTGTAAGGAGAGTGTGTTATTGCATTAAGAGGGGACACAAATTAACTAAACGACGGGGCGGCGCACCGCCGGAATTTGCAGGGGCACTGGAAATGGGTGGATAACCAGCAAATTGTATGGACAGGTAGCTACATAGAAGCACATCTAAAAAAAGTATGGATAACCAGTTTACACCCTGTGGATAACTAGTATAAAATAGGTGGATAACCACAAACAAAGTTTGGATAACCAGTTTACAACTTGTGGATAACCAGTTTACACCTTTTGGATAACCAATTTACAACTTGTGGATAACCAGTTTACACCTTCTGGATAACCAGTATAAAATAGGTGGATAACCAGCAATTATAGCATGGACAACCATCACATAATATTGCTGTTAATTAAAGAAGAAAACTGTGTGTGTGAGCTGAATTATCTAGCGAACTCACGCTATTCTGAGAGAATAAAATACACGCACAAGAGGGCACTGTGTGTACCAGATAATTTGCCCATCTTTCTCTCAACCTCCGGCCGACACCACCACCTCCACCCATTTCCAAACCTCCCAAAAAAAACCCCATCCGAGCCTCCCGAAAAGCACCTCCGTCAACGGCTTCAGCCTTCAAGGTCTCTTTATGCTATTTCGGCAGTGAGAAGTTCTATTTCTCTTTTCTCTTTTCCCCTTCCGATTCTCTTTTCTGTCACCCATGAATCGTGATAATTTGACGAAACATATAACCTCACCATGAACTTATCAAAGTTTATAGATCTGCTATGTGTCGCTATGTGTCGTTGATGACGGAGGTCATGGATGTTAGTTATTCGTCGAGTTGAAGGGAGCGCGGCCGCCGAAGATTTCGCTTTTTTCCCCGTCGAGTTGAAGGGTTTAATCTTCTCAAATTTTTGTGTGCGCTCACCCCCCCCCCCGCCGCGGTATTCTTTTCCTTTAGATTCAGTAGTCAGAAAAGAAGGACTCTTTCTGGTGGTGGTGATTAGCGACCGCCGGTGAGTTGTTGGACGTAACAAAGTGCTAGTGATGATTAGTAATCATGGGATTAATGTTCTTCTTACAAACCCAGATTCAAAAGTTTAGCCATTCTAATGATGGATTGGATTTTTTAAGAAAATGCATTTGACTTATTTTGGGAATTTCTTCAAATCTTGAGTTCTGTTTCTTCTTTTTCTCTTTTAGATTCGTTAGTTATGAAGGAATTTTTTTTTTAATTGGTAATGTAATTGAAAAATCGGCCAATTCTTGGAACTCACGAATATATAAACCTGGAATATTGTCGAACTTCTTCTCTTTTCTTTTCCCATTAATCTCTTGTTTGATTTAATCTGTTGGTTATCTCTGGGAATAAAGTGTGCTATGTAGTGTGTATTAGATTTTGGTGCGATGAATTATATAATGGTGTTTGATTTTTTTTCTTTGTTGGTTGATGAAAATGAAACCACAAAGATAGAGTTCACTTTGTTTCTTTTTTTCGATTTTTTCAGAAAAGAAGAAAAAAAATTGTTGGGTCAAAGTTTGTGGGTCCCATGGTCAAAAAAATAATTAAAAAATAAAAAATTAACGGAGAGAAAGGTTGACCCGTTAGTTGACTAAAAATCTGTTAAATTGACCAAAATTAATAAGAAAAAAATTTTAGAGAACTTTTTTTGCCAATTGAAAATTCATAGTGACTCGATCTTGTTTCCTTCAAAAGTTGGAGGACGAAAAGTGTATCCGGTCCATTGTTTAAAATGTACATACTGTTACATTCTTTTACAATTTACAACGAACCTAACAACCTTAAGTCACGATACTTAACTAAAGAATTTCATTCGATAAATGTCATTAAAAGATTTGTATAAATAAAATTATGGTCACAATTCAAACAAATAAGTCCAGGAAACTAATGCAAAATATTAATTTTGAAGCACACCGAAGCATGCTTAGGACAATTGAAGAACATTGGGATGTTGATAACTAGATTTAAAATACAACTAGATGCTTGCCCCGGGCAAATGCCCGGGGGCGTCTTCCCACCTAATAAATTAATATGTAAATAATTAAAACTGATTAGAAATGAATAAATGCCCGGGGGCGTCTTCCCACCTAATACATTAACTAGATGTTTGGCCCAGCCAGATGCCCGGGCGCCCCCTCTACTTTAATTTTGTGTTAATAGATAAATGAATTTTTGATTTGGAAAAAATAAAATAACTGCACATTTATTTTTTCTCTTTTTTAGCCAAAAATAAAAATAAAAATAAAAAAATCATCTGCAAAAGGAGAAAAAATATTGAAAAGTACACCGATGCAGAAATCATACAAAAGAATGTGGAGTAATAAAAGAGATAAGTTTATGGACAAATTTAAATGGTATCTTAATTTGATTGATAAATGATAAGTGTTAGGAGTTAAAATTGTGTATCTATTTTTGTAAATTAGCTTTTGTTTTTCCGGATAAGAAGTTTTTTTTTTCTTTTAAAAAAGGATGACACGTGGCAGAATGGTTAAAGCAATATGGTGCATTTGGAGCCAAAATTTTTTAATAAGAAATTGCCACATCAACATCATGTATTCTGCTTTAATAGGGTAAAAGGGATATGTAAATAATCAAAACTGATTAGGAATGAATTTAATTTTTAATGAAGATAATTGATTTGTCGAAAATTAATTTTTTCAAAAATCCTAAATAAGTGGAGAAGGATAGTTCCATTTACTGTCAAATTCAAAATTTGAATGAACACGGACATCTGATCTCTTTGTTAATATTGTAAATATATTTTTTGTTTTTAAAAAAGGGTGACACGTGGCAGAATGGTTTATGCAATATGGTGCATTTGGAGCCAAAACCTTTTAATAAGAAATTGCCACATCAGCATCATGTTTCCTACTTTAATAGGGTAAAAGGGATATTAATTAATACTTAGATGTAAAAAAATTTTAATTATGTTGAGACACAAAGTTTATCTTATCTTTGGCAGTTGTTAGAATAAGACTGACATTATCTCGCCGAAATTTGTAAATTTTTAATTACAATGTAATATGCATCTTTTATTTTCTCTTTGATAATAATTATCTTAAGTACAATGTGATAATTGTTTTAACAAGGAAAAGTATCCCACCGAAATTTGTAACAAAAAAGTATTCCCTGTGAGCTGTGTGAGAAATGTGGGAATTTCCCTCCATTTCCTATTGGGCTTAAAACTAAGTGGAGCCTCCTCGGAGTGAAGCCCAAAAGGCCCATTTAAACGCGAACCATTAGAAAGGGTTATACCGTAGTCGTAGAAATTGCTAGAAACGTCGGGTTTCTTCCATTACGAATCATTTTCAGCAATTTTCGACTCTTCTATTCAAAAATTACTGGAAACAAAAACAACTTGGAGTTATTTTAATTTTTGCTTAATTATTGTAAACTGTTTGGCCTCAAATCCTTTTTCTTTTGCATCAACTGATAATGCTGAACCGGTGACTGAAAAATGCCATGATGAATCCCAGCAACAGGATGGATACTGACATGATGGAGGCCGATTTCTCGTCGGCGCCCCCGCCTCCGCCGTCATCTCAGCCTCCACCGTCGATCCCCGACCAAGTTGATGGGGTGAGAGGTCTGTTGTCAACGGCTCGTCAGCTGATTGATCAAGGCCGCCCTTCCCAAGCTCTCCAAGTGGTATTTTCCCGATTATCAGCTTTACTCATCTTTTAAAAATTAGGTTACTTATCTATGCGTATCTCTGTTTCCCTTTACTCTGCCCCTTTAATGGAAAGATCCTTTTTTTGGGTTGGGCGAATACGTTAATTGTGCAAATGCTTTAATGAAGAGTTTGTTAGTTAGTATTGGTTCCTGTAGGTTCATTGGAAATCAATTGAGGTGAACTGAAGCAACATTAAAAAGTTGCTGGTGTTGTGGTTATAGCTATGTAGTCGAATTTGGATGAATGATTTTGATCGATTACAATTGAATTGTTATGCGAAGTGCCAAAATCAATTACAATTGAATTGTTATGCGAAGTGCCTTTTTCATGTTCTTATGTGTATTATTGATCTCAGGTTCATTGTGATTGTGCTTAGAATTATTAGTAAACTAGGAAACTTGAAGTAGAGTTTGGCTAATGAAGAAATATATGATTGAGGTGATGGATATATATGCTCAGGTGTTGTGAGTTTCCATCTTGTCCTCCACTTGCGTTGCTTTGCCTTAGAATTGTTGGATTGTTTTTTTATTATTCAGTGCAGTTTTGATGATTATGGGGATGCATCACTGGTAACAGGTGGTTATGGCAATGAGGAGCAAAGGCGGAGAGGAGGCTGTCTTCCAAACTCTTACCCGAGCTCGGGAATTGTATAGGAACAAAGTTGAGTGTGCAGCTGCTGACGAGCTCGCCACACTCTTTGCTGAATGTGCTATTGTAGAAGCAATACCATCCAGTGTGGAATCCTCTTCACATTGCACGACTGAGCGTGCTGTTGAACTCAGTGCTCATGGAAGTTCGATACTTGCAGAAACTGGCCGAGATCAGATTGTGCTCGATGCGTTTGCCGATGGGAGCAGCTTTGTCTGTTTGCAGTGTGGAGGTTTGGTGAGCAATCAACGTAAAGATGAGCACTATGCCTTCTGGTGTTGCAAACTTTGATGTTGCTGTTGGAAGCTCATGATTGATCACATCCAACATCTAGTTTCTTCTATCCTCACCCTAGATCATCTCCATTCGAGCATTGTGTATAATGTACTGAGGTTGTTTGCTCTAGATAGTTTGTTTCGTCTTGGTTGCTTATGAGCCTCAGCTATGTATGTTTGTCAGAAAAAATTTTTGGTGACCCAAGTTACGGAATTGATTGTCTTGTGGATAGGTGGTTATGTGGTCTCAATTTGGGGAGTCCACAAATTATACTACTCCACTGTCAATGGAATTTGTACCATTTGCTGATAGAATAAGATTTGATGAAAGAAAAGAAACGATATAGTACTTGTGGCTGCTGGTATTTTTGAACCTGTTCCATAAAATCTTTTTTCTGTTTTGTAATGTAATTGATGTTTTTCTTCAATTCGCAAAGATGCTGTCTTTTCGATATTCATGTTCGTCGTGATAGGTAATTTTGGCATATGACAGAACTGGACTGACCATGTAAATGGGATGATACGCCTACTACATGTTTCGGTGGTTTTGCAACTTCAGGTAGTCTAATTGTACTGTGTGATGGCTTCCAGAACACAAGCAACCATCTATAGGTTTAACTTCACTGAAGATGCCAATTGTGTATAGCCAATCTACAGCATCAGTTGTGTAGTTTTGGTCTCCTGCAACATCTTTCTTTATAAGGCACTATTTGGTTATATTGTTCAAAATTTTTCCCTATATTTTTTATCTCCTCAGTGAAACAAGGTACCATTTGTTTCTTATATGGTTCAAAATTTTTCCCTATAATTTTGATCTCCTCAGTGGAACAATGAACTCTCCGCGCACTCCATGACGCAGTTTCGAATTTATGGTTTTGCATTCACCAGTAACATCATTTTGTTTGGGGTAGAGGCAGATTGGCTAGCCAGTAATTTGCAGAAAGGAAAACGTCATGGTGAGAGTTAACTATATGCCAATAACTTCTCACATTTGTGAACTACAGTAAGAGAGACTGGAGATGGCAACAACATTATTCATGTAATATTTCCAGTACTCATGTTTTGAGTAAATGTACTTACAAAATTTTCAACGCTACAACACACCACATTCAGTCAGCTAACATTACAAGCAATCTACAATGAATGAATCTCACTGCTATAAAAGAATGCTTAAGATCCATTTCTGTGACCAATCAATCCCTACTTTTAACACATAGCCTACACTAAAGTATGCCCCAAAATCTCAGGGCAAAAATCAAGATCAGAGAAGAATCGAAAGATTTATTGATGTGCTTTTTTGAGTAAATTGAACTTCGAGGGGGAACCCCTTCAAATTCTTATATTTGACACGAATTTACAATCAAGAATTCCGTCACACCTTACCATCTGACATGTCGTCGTCGCAGCTGCATGCTCGCCTCCTATGTAACATCACTATGGATTGATACAATGCAGCTTCCAAGTATTGAATTCTACAAAATTTTAAGTTTGAACAAAAAACCAAACTTCAATTCCTGTACACCAATGAACAAAGGTTCTGGCAAGTGCCTCCCCAACAGCACCTGCATAACAACATTATATTTGAGCTACCAAAAGATTTAGAGACAATGAGAGCCACAATAAGTAAGAATGCAACCGGCTTTACTTCTTTTGTTTACAGACGAAATACAATATTCTCGGAGACAAAGTAAATGCCGCGGAAAGCAATTTTTTTTGTTTTAGCCCACATCAAGCATAAATTATTACCTCCATTAACTGACATATGCTCTTTTTGCTATTTGTTTCGGCTGAGCAGATAGAAGAAGAATATACAGCAAAGAAGAGAGGTGACTAGTGCCGTTTTCTACACATAATGTCCGGTAAAGCCTGTTGACGGGGTTTTGCCCTCATGATTGTCTCGTCACTGTGTCTAATCCATTCTGAGAGTTTCCACGGCTTTTGCCACTTCCATTTGAACTGTAATAGCCACTGGTGATGACTCCTCTTCCACCTCCACAACTTTCCACCTTGTCCAGCTACCGCCAATTTCTTCATAGTTAACTGACCAATAGGCATCATCTATAGACCAAATTGCATTTATGAGCCAAATATGTGACCAAATACAAAGTGCAAAAAATAAAGAAGAAGAAGAAACAGGATAAAGACCTTTCGACTTTGATCCATGAAGGCTGCTGACTCTCTGACTGAAGCATTGGCGATGCCTGCTGTATACTTCAGTTGTTTCTGTGCTGGCACCGGGATCGGAGACAGGGGGCTGCTCATCTCATCAGCTAAATGTTTGTTGGAGTTGGTCTGTTAATTAACAAGTATACAACCATCAAGATGTTGCTCAACATTATAGGCACAGGAGGTGCTCGTAAATAGCTCCAACACAAAAGAAACAATCAAAAACTGTTAATACTTCCGCTGTCCTTTCTAAATAGTCCACTTTGTAGAACTAAAAATTGCAGGGACGAAGGGAGCAGTAAAGATCAAGTAGTAAAGTGCAGAGACTGCATTGTTTCTTAAAGTGGCATGGATGTGATCCATAAACTATGATTCACTTGTCATTTGGGTCTGCAGAATGGCTTGGTAGGAGGTTATGGCAAAAGGATTAGCAACAATATGACCAGACAAATACTTACAGGTGGTGGTGTTGCCAATCCATTGGGTACAGATTGCTGAAGTAGCTTCAGCTCCTTATCAGTTTCTTTTCTTCTAATTTCACTCTGACGCAGCAAAACTACAAGTTCTTTTATTTGGTCCTTCATTTCCTTGACTTCAATTTCCTTGTCCCACAATTGGCACCTATTTTCAATATTGAAAATTATCAGGCATAGCTAAATAGCAAAAGGCAACCAAGCTGCAAAATGTAAATAGAAAACTTAGAGCTTTGAGAATATCATTGCAAAGTAATCACATGAACCTTTTTTTTTTTTATTATTATTTTTTTTTAAAGGGATAATCACATGAACCTATTACAAAGGCTCTGTAAAAGGATTCCAGCTAGATGATTTCAGTTCTGATATGGTATAAGCATGTGCGTACCCCCATCACAATAGCCAAAGGATTTTTTTGGATAAGTAAGTCCTTTAAAATATGTAAATACTTTCATCTTTTCCATGAATTTTGTGAAAACATTAATTTCATAATCAAGAACGGAAAATGAACAATGGAAAATGCTTTTGGCATGTTTCGAAGGACTTTCTACTCCAGCAAATAAGAACTTCTTCACAAAATGTTGAGAATGGAGATATCAGAACAACAAAAGTTTCTTAAATGAAACTGCTCTTTAGAATCTAGGCAAAGAGCCAGTGGAAAAAACAAACCTTGCATCACCAAGAGAATTAAACATGTATTGGAGCAAGCTTTTTGCATCCCCCATAGACCGCAGTTGATTCCACCTTCCACGACTAGTAAATGCTCTCTCACGCTCTTCAGCTTCTGAAAGCTGTGAAGCCATTGCAACAAGCGAGTTTGATGAAATACTAAGCATGTTCTCAAGAGAAGTGATTCTTGACATTCTTGCAGTTGGAGACATTGAAGCAGCCCTGACCCAAAAGCAGAACAACAGCTTAAATTCTCATGCACGGGAACAAGGTTAAAGCAAATATCTTATGGCAACACAAGCCACAAAATCTAGGAAGACGGAGGGGAGGATCCTCACCTAGATAAACCATTTTTTGCTCTCGGAGGGTTTAGCCCTTTTGCCGCGAACTCGTCAACTTGTCTCAAGACAGCCAACTCTTCTGCTAATGCAGCTCTTCTGAAAGAGGTTATGAGCAGCAAAATAGTTGAGAACATAGAACAACTGAATTGCAGCATGCCAAAGAAACAGAATGATGAAAGTGAATACATACACTTGACCCTGCTTCTCATATTCATAACGTACTTCATGCACATTCACCAAGACTTCTAGCTCATGATCAAGCCATCGCTGCAAGGACTTCTCATTTCCCTGAATGATGAGTATAAGTTTAATGTGGTTTATGTCAAACTGTGATAAGTGAAACAGATGAGAGGAAAAGAAATGCAAATATAAATCCTACGCGTTACCTGGCCATTGGTGCCAGTTCCATTGCTTGTCACTGCTGTGCAAATAGTGGACGAGGAACCAAAAAGAAATTAATACTAACTTTGTGCTGAGCAATACACTTTCTAAATTTAGGTGAACCAAACTAAGCTAAGTTCCCGACATTACTTTTTCTAACCAAAGGTATTATGTTTCTCAAGCTACACAGGTTCATACCTGAGCTGTCACGCGCTGAAGATCTACGCCCTTCCAGTAATTCTTTGAGCCTCTTAGTAGCCATTGCAGCCTCCTCTGTTTTCCTTTGAAGAACCTGAAACAAATGTCAGAGGGAAGCACAGAATCAATTTCCCTCAAACATAAAGGAATACAGCCTCAAGGGAAAGAATTCTGACATGCAAAAAACACGGCTGTAAGGCACATATACGCCAAAGAATACATCAATAGAGGAATTCTTATATTTGAAAGAATAAAGGGCCCACCACTAGACAAACAAAACATATCAAACACAGGAGCCGGTTATCCATATTAGACAATAACGGGCATTAAATTTGAAATGAAAGCAAGTCAGTCAGCCACAAGGGAGTCATTTATAGTGCTTTTAGTGTGGGTGGGAACCATAGGCGATATTAACATTTCAATCAAGTTCAACAATACGGTATTATTCATTAACACTATACAAACAAGGAGTCTGCATTTTCCAGATTGGCCCATTATCTTCCAACATGAGACGAAGATCTTACCAATTTTTGGCGTTGATTCAGAGCTTGCAGTTTATGCCTCTCATACTCATTCCTTCTTCCTTCTTTCTTCAACTGTATTTCATAAGCATCACCGTGAGAAAGAATAAATAATCAATCTTATCTGTTGAAGTCATAATGCTAGCAGATATAACAATAAAAATAAAAAATAAAAAAGAAAAGGAAAACCATAAAGAACAGACAAGCAAACTATTTTTTTATTTTTATTTTATTTTTTTGTTGAAGGTGGACAGCTAAAATCATCAAAAAGAGAAGGCTAAATACAGATGGTCATGAGTGCAAGTTTTTGAACAAAATGGGATGTTCTTTCTTGGAATAATTATAAGCTGAACTTTTGGTTAGGTACGGAGTTCAGCATCTTAATTGATATAATCTTCACTAAAGTGCTGCAGCCAACAGCCTCTAAGCAGAATGTTTGGTGCAAAATCGTGTTCTATCTTATTCACACAGGGTAGAAAGTTAGGGTTGATAAAGTTGCCATCTTGTCCCAATCAGTCAGTCATCCAAAGATGATATGTTTTGATGGGCACTAATCAAATCTATCATGGAAGTGCCAAATACAAACCAGAAACATTGAGCATTACCTGAAGCAGTTCCTTCTCACGAGATGCCTTCCACTGTCGAAATTGTTCAGCCTCTTGTTTTATCTTATGTTGTAATTGGACCTAGAGTTGGCCAAAAGCATTTGATGTCTAACTCTTCGAAAAATTAATAAGGAAATAAAAAAATAGAAAAACTTCTTGCAATCCAACCTTCTGAGCTTTGATGGCTTGTATTTCGTCTTGTAGCCGTTTAGCAGCTTCATCACTCTTTTGCTTTTGCTTTAAAAGCTGAACCTGGTTCTCTTGCTTCTTCTTAAGATCTTGTATCTGAGTGTAGAATTGAACAGATTCAGATGATCATAAAAGTGAACTAGCTTCACACTCAAGAAAAAGGAACATCCCAGGCAACAGAAAATGGACCTGTGATTCAAGAGATTTCAGCTTCTGTGCATGCACATCTTGCAACTTTTGAGCTTGCCCATCAGAGTTGGCAGAAAGGTTCTCAACTTCTGCCAATAGTCTATCTCTTTCTTTCTGAAATTGCAGAATCAAGAAAAATCAATATGTTTAGTAGGCACAGAATAATAACGCGTTACTGTAGTACATGCAGTCTTGTTTTACCTGAACAGTCCTTTTCTCTTCTTCGAGTTCGGTTATTTTTTTCCCGAAATGTTGTTTAAGTGCCACTGCATCCAAGCCTCCAAAAAGTTTCATCTCAGACTACAATACCATTTAAATTTACTGTCAGAGAAATCACCACCGGCAGCATTTCGTTTCAATAGAAGCCATTTCAAACTGAAAGGCTAAGAACAATCATCTCAGCTTAATCCAAACTTAGTGCTAGTGGGAATGGTTCATACTTCTCAGTAAGAACAAGGTTCTGTACATAATACAGATGAGCAGATTCAAATAGGAACTAATAAGGAAGGATACCTCTTTTTGCTCCAAACGTCTATTTAGCTCAGTCAATTCTTTGTCCATAGAATCTTGAAGAAGAGTATGCTCCCACTCCTTGGCAGCTTCTTCATCAATGTCTACAGAATCACCTGCCAGGATCCAGAACGAAACCCAATATGGAAATCAGTGGAGACGTCATGTCACTAATATGTGTCACGAACTTGGTTATATATTGATTTCAACATCGATTACTAGTTAGAGCTTGTTCATTGATTATGACTAGTAACGGCACAAGAGGTGATAATTGAATATAACTCGAGAATCGTACCACTTTCACTCATTTGATAATCAGATGACTCCATACTCTGCAAACCTCTTTTGAGCCCCTCACTTTTTATGGAGAAGGAGTTAGCAACCTGGAAAAAAGCCCAATCATTATGTTTCAAAGCCAACTAGCATAATATGAATGGGGAAAGAGGATTCTTTGAATACTTTATTATTTGCATCACAATGCTCAGTCGTGGAGCATCTGCTGCGATATTCATGGAGTTCCCTACAGAGCTCCTCATTATTGGCTTCAAGCCAAGCAATCCTTTCTCTTAGAACCTACAAGAATTAATGCTAATTAATACTTCTTCCAGATTTTACAGTCAATCATCTATTGAAGACACAAGTGAAGTCCATTAATTTGTACATAAACTTTAAGTACCTGTATCTCATCAGGAGAAGATCCGCCTCCACGAGCACAAAGTTCCGCCTGCAAAAGCTCTAGTTGCTGTCTCATCTTCAACATCTCATTTGATACGGGATCTCTATTAACCTATAGTAGAATAGCGTATGACACCAGTAAACATCTAGAAACTCAATCCAACAGGTTAAATGACGAAAACGAGACATGTATTACTTTAAGACTTACCACTGGCTTGTTCTGGATATTCCTTGCACGGTTTGCATATTTCAATGTGTTCAGAGTTTCCTCAGCGTTTATATCAGCAGGGCTAATGCAGGCTGGACGGGGGGAAAAAACTTCAGGAAAGGAAAGAATGAAGCTAAAAGAACAAAAGTTTAAAGGAGTATATGGCAGAAATGTGAAAATTGCAGTTTTTTGTGAACAAACTCAAACCAAAAAAAGCCAGTAAAAAATTAGCATAAGAAACATGAACAAAAAATATCACGAGTTACCATATCCAGTCAAGGAATAAGTTAAATACCTATCATGAAGGTTCTGCTATTACCACCTAAGGAATCCTGCCAACAACAGAAATGATTTAAAATGTTAAAGGAAGAACCATAAGCATTAAAACTATGGAAGTAAGTTCAAACATGAGACATGAGCTCGCAGGGGATTAAATCACAGCATATGCTCGATAAACATATCCAGGGTGATCAAATCTAACCTGCAATAACCGAGTAAGTTTACTATCCCGGTAGGGGACATGAACACCTTCTTTCCGCTTTTTCTCATCACCAAGAGCACTTATGACATTACCCAGAGCAAGGAGGCCCTTGTTGATATGAACTCCTGTTTACAAAAATAATAGCCACATGAACTTCATTTTGACCAAAGAAGGATCCTCCCTTCTCAAAGTAACTGAGAAGTACAATTACTTGCCTTCCTTAAAACGAAGACCATCAGAGCCCGTCCTTTTGGCACGCTCTGATCCAGCCAGATCAACCAAATGTAATTTGGCACATAGATATTCTTCATTTACATATTCATTTGTACTTCCATTACTAGGACTCATAGTATTAAGCTTACGCATCTGTTCCATAGTAATGGTGAAGATGGCATGTGAGCGGCTGGAAGAAAAAGGGAAAAAAGTCACAATGTCATACTTTGATTAATATAAAATTGTATAACAGACATATCATGCAGTGAATATCTTCCTGAACATTCTTTAATCAAAGATTTAAAGCAGATTTATGACGGTTCTTCAAATATATTTCAATTCATTACCTAAAATTAAATAACCATGTTTCATGCACCCAAGTCATTTGTCGAAGCAAATGGAGTGCATTTATATCTTTAAAGAACTCTTTTTTTCCACACAGGGAGAAGAGTGCAGATTAAAAATGGCTAGCACCATGAAGGTTGCTTAAGATAAAATAAACATGGAATTGTCAATTACAAATTAGAGTACGGGACTTCTCCAGGTTCTGATCAGTAAACTAGAAAGCTACAAGCAAGTCACAGAATTAGAACTTTTGATAAAAACCAGATTAGGTACAAATAGCTATAAAATATTAAGTTGGTTTGTACCTGGATTGATTGTTCATGTTTGTACTCCCAGTTGCCCTGCTAAGTGAACCTTGCTCCAGACAATCGGCCATTTCATTTAGCGTTTGAACACTACGTTCACTGGACCCCGCAAGTGTTATAACACCGTTTGATGTTTCACGTATTTGTATTGGTGACTTCCCAGGGACTGTTACTTTTCCAACATGGCCATTTGCTGCTTCTGACTTGTTAGTGGAACTAGGGTCCAGTAAGTCTCTTACTTCTTCTTTATGTATCTTCAGAGAATAATTCAGTGGTAAGATTCTCACCATAATGAGTCAACTGGAAAAAAAAAATAAAATTGATATACACAAGCCAAGAGGTAAAAGGAAAGAGACCGAACCTCGATGAACGAAACATGCAACTGGAACTCGATTTCATGCTTCAAAGATTCCATCTTGCTAAATAAAGCATTCATGACTTGAGGAATCAGTCCTGTGTGTGATCCATCTTTGAAGCTAGTACCCATTGTATATGTTTTTCCCGAACCAGTCTGCAACATGCAAAACATAGATTTACGCAAACATGCTACAAGTTCTTAAGAGTGCATACACAAAATTTTCACAAAGGTTCTAAATGCGGCAGACAATACCTGACCATAAGCTAGAACAGTAGCATTATATCCTTGGAACAGACCATCAACAAGAGGAGCAACACACTCTTCAAACATGAGATGTGAAGGAGATCCAGTGCTCCCATATACTTGATCAAAAGTGAAGGAATGTGTACCAATTTGTACCTGTCACATGATTGCAATTAATCTTCAAAACCATGGGGGGAAAATTAAAAAGCATGCATGCAAATTGCCTAAAAGAAAGAGAGACCAACCAAGGAAACACCGGCTGTTAAATTGGAAAGCTAAAAGACTATCTCCAAGATTTAGAATAAGCGGGATGAAAGTAGAACAAAGAATTGGATTTTTAGAAGAAATATCCAAGGAAGAGAAATTGTTACTACTTCAGTCAGATACGTAAGACTTTTCATAAGTTATGGGAATTGGAAAAATTCCATCTGCAGAATAACTGGTGCAATGTTATAAACTGAAAGTCGGAAATCTGCCATAAAATCCAAATGACATAATAAACACGAAACCATCGGTGCCAGGATGTGGATAAGATTTGTCATCAGTCATTCAAAAAATATTTAATACTAATGTCAGTTGCAAGAATTGGACTGAATCTTCATATAACAACCTTTAACACAGGGGAAACATTCTAGTCCCCAAAACTTAATTCAAGATCCTTGTTTTGTTCCAGTAAAACAATTTACCATTGAACACATTTTTCTTGATCAAAAGGACAATTTTATAATGATGAAAAAGATGATCTGGCAAAATCAGTCTAAAGATTGCTGGTAATGCAGCTAATCAATTCGGGCTCCATGATGTCGTGCCCCCAAGTTTTCAACATACAATAGACACAATAATGAAAAATTATTAGCCAGAAAATGCAGCAGAAGTGGTCAGTGGACTGCCAGCTTTGACAAAAGAAAAAGTTCAATTAGGCCATAAAATTATGATGACATACAATGAACACTGGCAGATGCAGCACAAGATTTTATCTTTTTGTGCAAAATAATTAAAAAAATAAAATAAAATCAAAGGTAAGTTCAATTAGCTCAGAAGGACAGCATGCAAGACTCTACTTGGGCCTGAATTTTTTTAACCGTTTGGAGTAAAGTTGATGGGGGTAAAAACAAAAGAAACTACATGCCAGATCTAGCACGCCAACTAAACCTCAAAGGCATTCGATCAGGGAGTTCAGTTTATCAAAGCAGATAACAAGAGCTTCTTTCTCCAATTCCGATTACATTCAGACAGCAAAATCCCAAAGGTGCACATGATTAAATGCACATGCACACTCAGACAAGAAAATCCATTGACCTTTTGGGATGAATTGAGCCTTTGCACAAGCAAAAACATCAACCAAGGGACGACAGATGCTTTGAGAAATGGAATTTGTAATGTGAAGAGAAAATGCTGAATTGAAACAGAATTATGTTTTCCTAGATAATCAAGACAGCCCAGAATGTGAAAAAATCAGTTCAGTTCATCTCTAACACAAATTTGCTCAACACAGCAAGAACTTATCTATCTCCAATTCCCCAGGAACAAGAAAAAAAACATCAAAAAAAAAAAAGATGGAATTTTGGAAAACTTGATCAGCAAAGCAAGATCTAGAGGAAGTCCTAGAAAAAGGGCTGATCCAAAATGCACCTCCAACCAACAAAACCCAAGTGAAATTCACTAACAAAATTCATCAAATTGCATAACCCAATTCAGACTGGGAGACTCCAGAATGCAAAGAACCCAGCATCAATCACATTATGAATATGACTGTACCTGAGGCTTCCCAGGGACCACAGTGACACAGTCTTTACAACCCTGAAGCCTCTCATCTCCAATAAGTGGCCTAATATGAACTGCAACTTTGACACAACAATCCTTATCCTCCCCAGAACCAGAACCATTTGCAGAGGCTGTTTCCATTTCCCAAAGCAGCCCACACAGTTAAAAAACAAACACACAAAGTTACAACCTTTTTTTCCTTAATTTCCTTTCCTCAGAAAGCTTTAGGAAGGAAATGGAAGAGAAAAATTTCACAGGACCAGAAAATGATGTAGCAACTAGAAAACCACTTGGAAAAGAACAGAGGAAGAAGCAGAGGAAGACAAATAATGTAAAAAGAAAAAATTGATAGTACTAAGGAAGGAAGAGAGCAAGAGGGCGGAATTATAGAAGGGTAGTTGAGGGAATAGAACTATAGAAGAAGAAGAAGAACAAGAAGAAAGCCAAGAAGTGTATATCAAAAGAAGGTGGGCTTAATGCTTATGTGTGTATGTTAGAGTAACTGCTGGGACAGCTCCAATAACAACAACCACTTTCACTTTCTTTTTTTTATATATATATAATTTTATTTCTTTGCTTTCTTTCTTCCATCTCTTTCTTCTTCTTCTTTGTTTTTTTTTAAAAAATTGTTTTTTTACTATTTTTTTGATGGTCTGCTTCACTCACTCACTAACACACAGTCACACAGTAAAGAAAGAAGAAGAAGAAGAAGAAGCTGTGTGTCAGCCAAAAAAAGACTTGACAGTTAGCTATTTTGCTTTAATCCTACATCACTCTCTTTCCTTATTTGCCCTTCCTCTTCTCTCAACGGCTTTTCTGAGATTTTCTGCCTAAAAACTAAACAGTTGTTTGTTTTTCTCTCTCTCTCTCTCTCTCTCTCATTGTCTTCTCCCACCTTCACAAGTCCCTTCCCGTTTTGGCGGTTATTTTGTTTTTCCTCCTTTGCCCTTTTTTTTTCCGTTCTTTTCTTTAAGCAATGCAAGAACAAAATGTAAAGCAAAATTTTAGTTTGATCCCATCAAGTTAATCCTTATCTTCTAAAATACTCTCTCTGTCCCAAAATTATTGTCCAGTTTGAGATTTCACTTTTAGTAAAATTTGAACTAAAAATGAAAACCCAAACTGGACAATAATTATGGGACGGAGGGAGTATATTTTTTTCTTTTTCTTAATAAAAACAACAATGAGGTATCTTAAGTGGTATATCGTCTTGATTAATTAGTGTTGGATCCAAACCTTTTTTTAGAAAGTAAAGATTTTAATTATTTTACTCAACAATTGTACTAGTATCTTTTTCTTGTTATATTACCAAAATAATATACAACCCAATACAGGGAGAGAAAATGCATTCAATTCCCTCTTCTGGGTAATTACGCTCTTTCTTTTTTGTTTTTTCTCATTCTTTTGTAGTGTTATGGGAATTTGCGGGCACGTACGTACGTATAAATAAAAGTATTTAATTCCAATGGGTTATCATAAAGAGTGTGAACGTGTATTTCAATATCTCACAATGATTAAACAATGTGCATGTTGAAATTGTTACACACAGTCACACACTAACACACACGTCTGCAGTGGAATGGGTTCTTGTGGGTTGTTTTCTGTTCTGTGATTGCACCTGCGGTTGTGGTTTTATGGGTTGGATTTTTTTTATTTTATTTTTTGATGATTTGTTGTAAACTATGTGGCTTTTTGGTTTCTGGACATTTTTATTTTGGGTTTTTTTGGACTTTGGCGCTCTCTTCCCGTGACTGAATTAGGGCATTTGCAGGTGCGATTACGCTCTTTCCAGTCTTTTAAACTTTTGTAATCAAAACTCATCTTCATGTTTAAAATCTTGTATATAACTCTGCCTTGAAAAAATATATATATATATATATATATATATATATCTATATTGAGTTTTTAATTTATATTACTTTTAGTACAATTTTAAAATTTGATGTGGACTAATTTTTTCAGATAGAGTAAATATTGCTTCATCGGTCTCAAAATAATCATCTAGTTTGGATTTTTTTTTTTTAATTCAATCTATACTAAAAATAAAAATTTAAATTGGATAATAATTTCAAGACCGATGGAATGTAATTATATGAAATTTTGACTCCTTCTCCTTCCTTTCCATGGAATTTTTTTTCTTCTGTTGATTTTTTTTTTTTTTTTTTGAAAAGTCTTCTGTTGATTGAAGAGAAGGAGAAAAGTTGTAAACACACAGCGAAAGCCACGTGATTTGGAGTGGAGGAATCCTTGGCGATTACGGGATTCGGGAGTATTGTTCTCCACTTTTTGCCACGAGGATGCTTCTCTGGCCTTTTTTTCTGACGTACAATGAAATTATTTAATCAAAAGTACTTAATTAATCGTACAACGTTATTTATATGTTGTTTAGTGTAGGTACTACTAATGCAAATTCGTAGCATATAATAATAATCATCCCCACTGATTATTCTTTAGTTTTGTTTTCATTCCCTTACCAAATTCCTTTTTAAAATTTTTTTGTATTTTTATCTGTTTTTGCTCTGTTTCTCACCTTCAGGTTAGGTAATATTATGGAATATTGGTTGTGCATCATGCAAAGCACGGTAAATAATTAAAGACATCATTCACGTTAATTACTTCTTAATCACTTGGTAAAACTTGTAAAACGAATACAAGCATTGTAAATTCTCATACTTCATGAGCAAACCTAATCCAAAATCCTTTTTCTTTTTCCTCTTAAACAATAAACAATTCTGGAAAAGATATGGAAGCAATGATAGAAGCAAGAATAAAATTGGTGTTCTTTAACTTCTAAACCAGCCCCTCTACTTAAACCAGTTGACTGGTCAAAACCACACTTGGTTGAGTAAAATAATAAAGAACTAGATGCTTGTCCGGACAAATGCCCGGGGCGTCCTCCCACCTAATAAATTAATATGTAAATAATCAAAACTAATTAGGAATGAATTTAGTTTTTGATGAAGATAATTGATTGATCGAAAATGAATTTTTTAGAAAGTCCTAAGTAAGTGGAGAAGGAAAGTTCCATTCACTGTCAAATTTAAAATTTGAATGAACATGACCACCTGATCTCTTTGTTAATATTGTAAATATATATTTTTTTTAAAGGAGGTGACACGTGGTAGAATGGTTTATGCAATATGGTGCATTTGAAGCCAAAACCTTTTAATAAGAAATTGCCACATCAGCATCCTGCTTTAATAGGGTAAAAGGGATAAATAAAAGAAAAATACCAACACATACATAACGTCCAAGACTGTAGAATATATGCTTTGACGTCTTAACACTGATTAATAATAATTAATCAAAAAAAAATTAAAACTGTCTTGTTGTACTTGTGTTTACTGGTTTCCTCAGATTACAACATGAGTTGTCTTCCTCCAATCCTCATTGGATGACGAAATTATGGACCCAAATTTTATTCCCTGATTGAGAGAAGTGAGTATAAGAATTCCATTACTGTACCTGCCCTTTACAATACGAAAAGAATTCAAGTCGGGTGGTACCATGGACTAGCCTACTTGGTAGTGTTATCCTGCATTAGATTCTTGAATTATTACGGATGTAAATATTAGTTTATGTATATACGGTGTAAATTTACCTAGTTACGGTCTAGACTAGTATATACACATATTGTACTAAATCCTAATATAACTAAGTTATTATTTTTCCGGCTGATGATCAATGCTAGCCGCCCCTTCAACTTCTTCGACTTCTTCATGAATGATTCACTAACTAGTTAGGACTAGAAATTGAGTTCATATACGTCGGTAAAAGTATAATGTAGTAGTTTTTTATTTTGTCGTACAACAACAACATCACTTTATACTACAAGATCGAAGATAATACAAAATGAACATGTCATTTTCGGAATATACAATTAAATATCGTGTCATAAATTGTTGCTAGCTCGTTATGATTCTAATAATATCCTTGTAGGTTGGAAACTAGATTTGATTATGCTAGCAGTAGCTGAGTCTAAAAATTGAATAAAATGGACCCATGACATTGATTCAATTCCTAACTCCTAACTAAATATAAATATGTATACATGTTGTGTTGGAAGGGAAGGAAATAATTCATAGGCAGGCCATGAGTAGTAGAGTAGAAAGCATTCATCTTTATTTTTAAAAAGAAAAAATATCTCATTTTGGGGGCTTTAATTAATAAAGTGTTGTTGAGTTTCTATCATCATAATAATTAGGGTACCGTATTGCATATTTTCCCAATCGTGATTGTAATTATGATTGTAGGCAACGTAAGGCACATGGTTTTGTTTGTGTGTAATCTATACCTTATTATTATCGTAGCTTTCTTTCTAGGGCGGCCATAATTGTTTAAGTGATGATCATTTCTCACTGGTCTTGAAATGGTGTATATTTTGATTTTTTTTTTAATGACTAATAACTAGATTTAAGTTATTTAACTTATTTTTCTTGAAATCAAATAAAGTTACAACGGTCGAAAAGAATGAATCCAAGTTGTTATACAAACACGAAATAACATTTCTATTAAGAAAAGTGATTTGTTTAGCTACAATTTTCCATGAACATAGTTGTCAAATTAATTCATGGGTAACAAGATTTGAAACACCAAAATATTTTTTAAATTTTTTTACCCCCTTGAAATGGACTAAAGAAGATCATAATAATAATAAAAAGCCCCCAAAGATTTATTTGATAGAGCCCATTTTAGTACAATGGCAAGCAAAATTTATGATTTTGATTCCGAAAATGCAAAATACGACCTCATTGCTAGTCAAACAATCATTCCGTTTATCTTGAGAAACCCTCTTTTATTTCATTAATACTCATTCTGTTCTGAAATATATGTTCATTATGAATTTTTTTTCATCATACTAAACATGAAAATTCAAACAAGACAATCAATTTATGTTAGTAAATTTTTTAAAAAACGAGAAAGAAATTTGGAGTTGGCAAGTTGGAAGAAAGAAAAGAAAGGGTTGGGGAGAGAGATCACATGATTGCAAAAGTGTGGTATAAGATGGAGAAGAAGGGTACGTGTGGTGGGAGGAAATGAAAGATGCCGGAAAAAAAAACTTTGGGGGAAAGGGACTTGGCAATCGGAACCGGCCAGAAGAAGAAGAAGAAGTTGTAAAATCTTAAAAGGGTTAGCAAAGA